CAACCAGTAAACAGTGTCCAGTATGACCTATGACTGCAAGGGACAGTACATGTTTTTCCCTGATCCATCTTCTGTTGAGAGGAAAAACATATTCAAAAAGATGTTTCCATCATGGTGATCTGATGCCTTATAAGTGCAGCAGATGGTGCTATTGTGCAGTGCTAAACACATCCCATCACAAAAAGATTCTGAATAGCTGTTGGTAACATCAATGATATAAAATACTTGACAATTGAATTGACAATGCTGCACGGCTAAATATATGAAGTTATGTTATTAGCCAAATCATTTGAAAGGCTCAATCCACAGGGATGCAACACTAACAAATATAAAACACAGGAATGGTAAAAGCCAAAATAACTCCAAACACATTGGTATAAGTAATAACCCCTATGACCGCCACTGAATGTTACAACAAAGTTATCAATGTTTCCTAATGCTGCTAGTGTTTATCTTACACTTTCAAAAAGGAAATAGCGCACCGTGGGATGGTTAAATGAGGAAGTGCATGATAGTTGAGGAAAGTGTGACATTGAAGATCAATTGGTCAACCTCGAAATGGGTTGCAAGATCATTTAGCACATACTTGTGATATGTACAGCTGCTTCCTGTGGAGGTCAGTAAAGGTTATACCTGATTCTTGACACACCAGTGTCTATCTCTTTCTCATGTCTCAGATAACCAGCCATCATACCATGCACATTTATTATTTAATATAATAGGTGATTTTCATGTGGAGGATTTTACTTGGTGCTTTGTTTCATTCCATCTCTATTTAAATGTTTCTACACCACCAACGGACAAATGCAGATTACAGATTTTACCTGAACAGTCGATGTGAAAACAACCCACTCACCATATTTGAGTTGTTTTTTTGTTTGTTTTTTAAGATCACTTTGGTAAAGGGCATGCTTATTACTCAAATGAGGAAGCTGAAGAGTTCACAGTAGGAGAATGAGTCAGTAAGGTACACATACTAACCACAAAAATAAGAACGATACTTTACTGCTAGAGTTCTAATGTACCCCAAACCCAAAATAGATATGTGCAGTTTAAAGATAATGCTGTTTTAGTTTTCCTAGTATGAGACTTTTTTCATGTGTCCACCTTAGAAATAAGCCTGGTACCTTGTGTTTTTATCTTTTGCATTATTCATTATCAAGCAGGGTATGCTTATTGTATTGTCTTCTAAATTTAATTACCTACAAAAATCCCTTATGTGGAATAATTAGGTAGTTAATTACAAAAGATGGAATCACTGCTCAGGTGTCCCAGAGCGCATTTTCCTGAATATTAACACAGACCATCTGACATGTAATTACCTGTGCTCAAATTACTTTAATAACCTCGAATAACGCATCCATCATAGCAGCTGTTAATGCTTTAATGAAGTTGTGTGAATAACATTGCTACGTGTGTACTATTTGTGTTATTATATGCATGTCAAATATAGCATTATGAACACTTTTTCTTATTCAGTATTTGGCAGCCTTTTACTGTCAGTGTTTCTGCAATGGTGTTACATATTCAGAGTGAACATGTCAAGCACTCTGTTTTTTAAGCAGCTCTTTGGTCATGGGTCTGTTGTAAGCGTGTCCCCGTAACCACACCCCAGCCACAGTGAAAGAAAGTGTGCGCTTCAGCATGTTCCATTGACCGGTGCAGTACTGCAAGCCTTTGCATATCCACAGTTCCAGAATGCCATATAGAACAACAGACGGGGACTGTAGTGCAGCGCCCTCGTATACCACACCCTCCCCCATCAGCATCCATCACCCTCCCCTCTCCCCTGACCCCCCAAAATACTCCCATGTAGTTCAGTGTGAAAGAGTCACGTGGCTTTTGACCCACCAGCTCAAGTGCATTTGTTCTGTGCTGATTGTTTTAGAGGATTGTGCCTCCATCAACAGAAAAGTGGAGGGGATAACTTTTTGGAGTTCAGCCTAGGGATTCCTCTTTGACGTTTCGCTCTCTCCCAGCTTGCACTCTCTCTCACTCTTTCCCTGAGGAAAGGCTGGTACTTAAGACGATTAATTTATCCTGAGAAATTCAGGTAAGATGATGTTGGGTCGTTTGTTAATTGCTGCTGCCACTTAGATGTGGGATACAAATAATAAATATCATATCAGAACATGTTAACCAGAAAGTGTATGTCTTACAGGTGGCCTAGGGCCTCCACCATGTGAGAGTGACAGGCTTTCAATACATAGCTCGCATTATCCACATTCAATGTGCCTTTTTGCGTAAATGTGTGATGCATAAATTGTTTTTGTTTATTACATGATACATTTCTCATGGTTCTTTGCCATTTTTCTGGTTCCTTTCATGTGTACAGAGAAATCTAAGCTGTTTACACCCCTCCATAAGAGTATTGATGATGCATGTTATCTCTGAAAGCTCAGAGCTAAAGGGATGCCATTGGCACAGATGTGTTACATGTTCTGCCGGCTCATTTCTCTTGCCATTTCATATCAATCTTTTGTTGTCATGCTTAAAACATCAGTTACGGTCTGTGCAGCTTCACAGGAGAAATGGTTTAACCTAAGGGATATCTTTTAGGAGTTGGACACATTTCTCAAAAGTGACCTCTTTCTTTTAAGCTTTAGCTTTTGTTTGAAACCCTTGTTCAATATTTAATTTGTGGCTTTATTTGTATCCTCTATTATCTTTCATATTTTCTTCAGCTATTTGCTGATTTGGGTTTCATGTGGTTGGTCTTGGTAATTGACGTATTCAGTTAGTGTGAAAAGCATGTTCAAACAGAGAGAGAGAGAGAGTCCATATGAGCTAAATGTATTGTCAGTATGATTACTCTGTCCAGTCCAGCAGCTCTCAGGGATAGGCAAACACAGCTAGACTATAGCTCTAACATCCTCGTGTATATTTGGGCAGCTTCCTCCTTGAACGAGGTACACATATTGCTGAAACACATCTCTGACTCAAAGGTCACAAAGAGTCTACCAAAATGAGTCAGTATTTGAGGAAATGTTGTGGTAAACACTGCTGCCAGGAAGTTGTTTAAATGGTTGGAGTTAATGGTATGTGGCAGTGAAAATGTTGTTTTAAGCTCCTAGGCCTGCAGGGTAATTCTGAATAGGAAATGTAAATCAACGTCTTCCCTTCATTAAATACTAAAATGGTTGTGTTTTAACTGTAGCTCAACGATAAGCCCCCATTTTCACCTGTGGCGGTGTTGGCCCATATCACAGCAGACTGACTACACTTTTTTTCCTGCCTCTGCATCCTCTCCTCAGGCCATTCCTGTATCTTTAATACATCTCCTACTGAAAAAGCATTAAGACTAAAGCTACAAACCATGTTAAAAAGACTCACGATATTGCTACAAGTACACTTGCAACACTGACTTCCATCTTGTTTTTCTCCTGCACAGTGCATAAAGCCTAGACCACTTTCCTAGTGTCACTCATGATGCACAGCTTCATGGGAGGGGGCCTCTTTTGTGCCATTGTGGGAAACATCCTGTTGGTGGTGTCCGCAGCCACAGACTACTGGATGCAGTACCGTCTGTCCGGCAGCTTTGCCCACCAGGGCCTGTGGAGGTACTGCATGTCTGGCAAGTGTTACATGCAGACTGACAGCATTGGTAAGTGGGAAATACATTCTTCTTCCCCTAATAATTCCCTTGTCTCCCTGAATCAATAACTCACCTTTTTTAGGTGACTTTCATGACTTCCAGGCCGAGTAGAACGACAGCAACAATGGTGGAACAAATATTTACATCTTTTACCTAACAATAAGAGTCTAAAGTCATGCTGGCTGCTCTATAAAGCTGTATTTAGTTTAATGCTAATGTCAGCATGCTAGCATGTTCACAAGGACAATGTTAATGTGCTGATGATAAGCATGTGTAATGTAACAAGTTAACCAGCTTTTTAGCATGCTAAAATGAGCTTATAATGACTTAATACAAAGAAAAGATGAGGCTGATAGGAAAGTTATTAGTTTTGTAGGTATTTGGTCGAAAGGTATTGTTAAAGTTACATTTTGGCCTAATGATCAAATGTTCAAAATGTTTTAGTGCTGGACTGATATAACTATTCCTTGAACGTTCATATCTGGCTACACATTTAAATACTGCAATAATATAGTATACAAAAAAGGAATAGCATCTTACTGAAGTAAAATCAATAAAACCCTTTTAAAAGTTTAAACTTTTCATTCTGTTTAACAGTAAGTGACAGGCTTTTTTAACACTTCATAACAACATTTCGTAGTTTGGATGTGTCTGGAGTTAAATTGGTCAGTTTCATTATAGCGAGTTTTCAAATGACCCCGAGTACATTTTTAGTATGAAACTGTTCATATCAAATTAAAGGTTTATCATGGTTAACATAATATTCTATATCATATCTTCGTTCTCTCTCCTACAGCCTACTGGAATGCCACTCGTGCTTTCATGATCCTTTCTGCCATGTCATGCTTTGCTGGCATCATCGCAGGAATCCTCTCATTTGCCCACTTTTCGGCCTTTGAGAGGTTCAACCGCTCATTTGCTGCTGGGATCATGTTCTTTGTTTCAAGTGAGTCAAGGATACAATCAACCAAATTACGTCATTTTTTCCCCCCCATCATATCTGCCATTATTATTTAATTTGTATATCAATAAAGTTTACTACGCCTGCTATTGAAACTCTTCCAACTTCCAACTGAGATGAACTTAACTTTTATGGATATTATTTTAATATGTGTCACTCTCTGCCCAATACGACAGCTCTCTTTGTTCTGCTTGCAATGGCCATTTACACTGGAGTGACTGTGAACTTCCTGGGCAAGCGCTTTGGGGACTGGCGCTTCTCTTGGTCCTACATACTAGGCTGGGTGGCACTGCTCATGAACTTCTTTGCAGGTTTGTTCAAATTAAATAGTGCAGTAAAGTTGGTGTAACTACTTTCTATATCAGTTTGACTCTTTTTTTTAAATATGACATTGTTATTTGCACACAGAGAAAACGTTATAAACCTTAATTAACAGCTCAGCTCAGCACACAAACACTTGAATTTTATTTACAGAAATTGTTGGTTACTACAGACTTTTTAGCTTTTATTTTGCACTTAAATGCTAACAATACAGTTTTCAGTCTCACACATCAGTAACTTTAACGCAAGAGAATATGTCTTGCTGTCAAACATTGTGTATTACAGGACAACAGATTGTTATAGTGCCATAAACTTGTGGTAACATGACCTATGTTTTGTTTTGCAGGTATATTCTACATGTGTGCCTACAGAATGCATGAGTGCAGAAGAGTTGCAGGCCCACGTTAAAGTAAACAGGAAATAATGTGTCAAGGGTGCAAAGAATAACAGTTCCCTTTCGAAAATTGAGAATTAACTGTAAAATAATAAAATTTGGAATTTGCTTATGCACCAAAGATAACTTGTGGTTTTGTCATAAAATGTTTTGTTATGGAAAGCAGGTCTTTGAGCAGGATGTTATAATCTTAACATAATATTGTGTTACTTATTAACAGCAAACCATGTGAGACGTGGTTTAATTAAGGAACTGAACTATTAAAGCAATCTGTAAAGCATAACAAATGCCAAAAATAATAATCATTATATACAATACAACAAGAATATTTCAGCTGGATGTGTTGTATTATAGACTTAGCTAGAGTTAGTGGGCTGTTCTCCTGAAACAGTGAATACACACTTCTTGAAAATCAACTTTTTACCAATGCCCTGGAAAGTGGAGGAGGAAAAGTAGAAGATGATGGGATCAATACAGGTGTTGAAGGTGCTAAGCAGCAAGGTGTAGTGCCTCCATTTGGGGCTCTCACCCTCTAAGAAACCCATTAAGTGAGAGATGTTGTACGGCAGCACACAGATGAGAAACACAGCGAGAGTCCCCAAGGCCATGCCGATGGCCTTCTGCTTCTGCTTCAGGGATATCCTGGGGCGACTGTACAGGATAACGATGCAGCTCAAGTAGCAGTAAACACAAATTAAAAGAGGTATTACGCAGAGTACAAAGAAAAACTCCAAACGTACAGGGAGGACGATCGTCAGCTGCTGCGCCGTAAAGTTCTCATAGCAAACACCGGAGTCTTCGCTGGATAGGGATGGTAGGTGCTGGGTAATAAAAGTGATGCTGCAGTGTGCTGTTGTAATCAGCCAAATAGCAGCACTGATAATCATCGCATACACAGGTTTCTGCAGCTTATGATAGGTGATGGGGAAAGCTAGTGCAATGTAGCGAACCACACTGACTGCCATTAGCAACAAGGAGCTGCTGTAGATTGTTGAGAAGAAGATAAAGGAGGTGATGGAGCACAGGACGCTGGATAAATGCCATTGCATGCCTGACACTGCCTCATGCATCTTGAGAGGAAGGATGATCAGAAAGAGCAGGTCAGAGACCGTCAGATTGAGAAGCAGGATGTCTGTTAAAACGGGCTTGGAGTTGATCTTGACGCTGAAGGCGTAGAGAGCCACAAGGTTTGTTGGGAGGCCAAGGAGAAAGGAAATGATGTAAACTGAGAGAATGACCTCACTCCTCACCCCTGGTTCCATTTTTATCCTATTCCAAAGAAAAAAGACAAGTTATTAAGCAATTCATTTTGACGATGTGACCATGGTCAACAAAAGAAACACTCCTGCTGATACATAATGAATTATGAAGGAATATTTGTTTAAAGTTTAAACAACCACATCATTGGGACAGAAGATAGGACGTTTTGAATTTGGGTTGTATGAGGTACATCTATAGTCAGTGTAATACCTAAAGTAGAATACATGGTGTCAAGTGGAAAAAGCTTGGACTATAGACACAGGACCTAAGTAATGCACTACAGAGTTTTTGGGCAGCAGAAAATATATATTTTAACAACCTAAAAAAATGCCAACGCTATCAGTTTAAATGTACACTATATTGAGAAAGTATTCTCCACTTTTGTGCTCGACATCCTTTTATGTTGGCGAACTAAAACCCTAATATTGCTCCATCCCCGTTTTAAAGCCACCACTCCTTTGTCAAAAACAGTCATTTCACAATGCAGAAGATGAGAGTTGCTTGTCTAATGCTGCCTCAATTATTTAGGTGGTTTGTGTAATTATGTTTATTCGTTGGCTCTGAACTTAATCATCAAACACTGTTTTTGTCAAAGTAGCATTTTGTCTTTAAAGAGAGCATAGATAACAACATCAATTCCCCGGTACCTCATACAAGCACTCTATGATTACAGAACAATTTAAAATAAACAAACCATATCGGCTCTCAGGTTCCAAAAACCAGATGTGGGAATTTCATTTGCAAAGATAATCTGAAATGTTTGATTAAATAAATGATTGTATTTACTCACATACACTGGACGTTTTCTCAAGTGTTTGGCCTTCAAATAAATAAACACTAAAGCTTAGTGCTGTTTGTCTTGCTGTGTGTTTCATCAAAGACAATATGGTTCAAAGATGAGCTGATATATAAAGTTCCAGAAGCAGCAGTCCCTTTCTATTCCGGTATGACTCACTGATATTATTTCTACATTGAGCAATGAACACACACCCATTGGTTAATATTAACCAAAATGCAAAATGGAAGCTCATGTTGACTTTCGTGTTAGGCATGTTATTTAAGGACCAGTGGATCTCTACAGTAATAAAACCTCATATAACATTTTGAATTTTATTAAGACAAGAGCCTGCTTTTATTTGCAGCTGGATCAGATAAAGGGTCATTACAGATTAACAAATTATTCTTCTATATCATCATAGAAACAAAACTAATAATAGCAATAGTTACACAAATCTCATTTGATTCTTGGAAAAATGTGGTGTTAAGGTCTTCCCCTGCTAACAATCTAATCTATGTATAGAGTTTTAAAATCTTGAATGCTACTTTGAGTGACACGTGATGGTCTGGATCATGGCATAATTTAATCATGAGTCTTAGTCACTGCACCTTTGCTTGTGGCTGTATTTTGCATTCTCTTCAGTGAGCCATTTTGTTATTGTGGTGCTGTTGAGCTCTGGTTGGTTTCTTTCATATCTTCCAAAAATTCATTGTCATAAACACAGGAAAGTCTGTCCTCATCTGAGCCTTTATCTGGTCCGCATGGTGATAGTATGTCCTCAGCTTGAAATCTGATTGAGAGAGAGGAAGGGAGAGACAAAGAGCGGTAGGGGAGAAGTGGGTAAATGAAAACCGACTTGATACTGTTATCTTCCATTCTATATATTTTTTGTTTGTTTGAGGTGTAAGAGAAAAGACAAAAATAAATTGGACTATGTAAAACAATCTATCCGTTTTGTCAGTTTCCACCTTATACATACATTTGGAACACAATAGTTTTATTTACCTTTCAAAGTTGCCATATCTCTCTTCTTGTTCTGCGATGTCAGGTAAGCTTTGTTCCCTTAAAAAAAAAATGCAAAACAAAAAGATGTGATTTGAATTTAGAAATTTGAAATAAATAATAGACAACTGATACATTCCAGTTTTACCTTAAAAGGATATCAGTGTTGCACACAACGTATGCTGGCGGTCTGTGGATAATACAACAACAATAGAACGATTATTCACAGCTCTACTGTACATGTATGTACATGACAAAGAGTGAAGTCTCCCAACCTGTTTCTCCATGTTTCCCTGCAAATGAACACTGCACTTCCAAATAGCAAACCAATTCCTGGGATCACAAAAGCTAACAGCCAGATAAACATGGAGGCTGTGAAAGAAAAATATAAATAAATAAAATACTCTTGATCTGCCTTTAAGTGTAGTTAGGGGAAACACAATAGTGACTTACATGTTTCTACGGACAGCAATTTTGTGTTGCTGCCCAGGTAGTTTGTGGCGGTGCAACATATGTTGGATTGCTTTTGAGCTGCACAATTTATTTCCCCAGAGACTAGATTTGTGGAAACAAAGCTGAAGGAAGACGGAAGAGTGTAATTTCCATCAATGGTCCAGTGTATAGAGGGGTAAGGCGACGCTTCAGCCCTGCAGACACACTTCAGACTTTTCCCTGTCAGGAGGCAGGAGGACTCCGGTAGGATTACAGGGGCATCTAGAAAGACAGGATGTAATGTTATCTACCAAGTTATCACAATTGTCCTCTACAATGTATTGTATGATTATATTCAAAGATGCATTGTTCTTCAAAAAAACATTTGATGTTTTTGTTAAATATTTGTAGGGGATTTTAATGGCTTGTTTCTACAACGCATACTGTACCAGATATCATCCATTGTATGAACGTGTGCAGGCTAATCACAGGAAACCTGCACCCTATTTCTTGCTTGATAAACATGAACTGTGTCTTTGCTGTTATTATTTACACTGTTAGTTTTGAAAGAAAAGTATAGCTTATACAATTTTACATAACTGAACATATTTTAACGCCATATAAAATATAACCAATAAATGCATAAAATACAAATAAATGTGCGGATGGTTATTCTGTTAAATCAGCACGTCGGAGCGGAAGGTACGGTTACATTGCAATTTGCAAGCTTGCTATGAATTGTGTCAGGTGGTATTAAAGGACCAGGCGCCTTAATGGATGTAGTTACTTTTCTCTGGTGGTGTTGTTCAGTAGCCAGCTGAGCAATATCTTGGTATGAATGTTTAGCACTTTAGTAAATTAAGATTTCATCAGTACACTCTAGAGGAATAGAGGACATGGAATATAATTGTTTTTACATTGAACGTCCAGATCCAACCAGTCGGACTGCCTTGTTCCAATGTCATTGTAAGCGATGCAGGAGAGAGAGGTATCTCGCGTGATATTGTTGAAGGGTCTTTTTTTCTCAGTTGAATTTATTCCCTTGATCTGACCCATCTGTCTTCTGAGCCATTTGTACGTGTGTGGTTGTGGGTTACAGTCAGCAGCACAGTCCAGGGTGACACTGCCACCCTCCATCACTGGTTCCTTTTGCTGTGTCAGGGTCACATTCACAGGTTCATCTGTGGAGAAAGAAAATCACAAACAATACATATAGTAATTCCTGGCAAGTGAATCTACTCCTGTAATTATTTTGACGAGGTAAACTGTATCACTTACATAAAACGTTGAGTGTTGTCCGTTCACTTTCTTTGGTGAACTTTGCAGAGCACCACATTTTGCTGTTATGCATTTTATAGGTTGCTAGTCCATGAAGTGTCTCTGTATGCCACCATTGGCCCTGTCCAAGCGTGTCAAAAGTCATTGAAGTGGAGTCGTTTAGAAATGGACTTTTGTTCCAATGAAGGGATGGTGGTGAGGAAGGGCAGGGGTGCTTTACGCTGCAGTTAGCCTGGAACATCTCCCCATTCACTATCCGTTTCTGAATCTGCATTTTAATAGTGTTTCTCTCTGGAAGTCAAAACAAAATGATAATGGAAAAAAAAACTAGTAAAAGTGTAGATACAGAACTATACATTTTTAGATTGACAATTGTGTAAAGAAATGGCATATGGGAATTATTATTTCCAATGGCATTTTTCCCTTCACTTTATATATCTCACCCTGGTTAACCTGGCATTCTTATGATAATAGTTTACAAATACTTAGCCTTCTTACCGACAGAGATAGTTACAGTTTGATGATGGAATTTCTGAGTTGAGTCAGAGTCTGGGTCGATCCAAACATAAGTTCGTAGGTTGTTGTCGGATGTTTTTACATTATCTATCATCAGGCTGCAGTTCCCCTCTGAAGCTTCACCCAGTATTGATGTGCGTCCTCTGAACTGTTTTTCCACTGCATTGGGACGGCGTCCATCATACACAACAGGATAATTTATTGTATGGTACTGGTACCATATGACCCTAGAATGAGGTTTTGTCTGACATGGCACCACAACACAGCTCCCCTCCACTGCAGTAACTGTTTTGGGTACATTGATGTTCCAGCTGATCACCTGCTGAAGCATTGAGATGCCTTCGTGGGGTGAGAGGAGGGGGTAGTTTAGAGATAACAAATGTTAGTTGCGGTTGGTCTATTTTGTGATGCTACTTTTGGTAATAGATGAGAAAGTAATGTACGTGACAACTATGAATTATTCTGCACATGTAACTGAGAGAGCCGATTAACCACAGCGCTGAGTGTGCTGCAGTATTAGAGACATTTAACCATAGCAGAGTGACAGGAAATCAATTCCTATGACTTCTTGGAAACAAAAAGTAAAAATAATTCTGTAACAAACCATATTACTTTTAAAGCCGTTTACAGCTAGAACTTATTAAAACATATAAGGACTTTACATCAGCCTTTTTCTTCTATGCTGATGCACTACATTGCAAATTGGCTTCAAATGGTGTGGTAATGCAGCATTAGTAATGCATTTACACCAGTTTACACCACTTAAGCCTTTTTTTGTTTAAATGTAATGCGAGTAACTTTACACACACAAAAAACAACTGCAACTGTGTAATAATAATGTTGGGAGTAATGAAAGTAGTAATTGTTATTGATTTGTCTGTATTTCATAATTTTTCAGTTTTATTGCTGCTTTTTACTTTTTCTATGTCGCAGCAAAACTCTCATACATTTGGAATAGGCCTAGTTCTCTTAAGATGAAACTCATATTTGAAATACTAGCTCATTGTGTTATCTTTTAATCTTTAAAATGTAGAGAAGAAACATAAACAGATAAAGCTTAATATTACCAGTAAACAAGCCGAGCAGTCTGAACAGAAGTGCAGTTCCCATCGAAGAAAGTAGTCGCTGTATACATTTAGTAAGCCACCTTTGACAACAGAATTTCTGAAACACAGCAGCGTTACACATGTTACTTTAATTACAGTTTAAAATATTTGTGTTATTTCTGTACATTACTTTGGTCTTTTATACTGTGGTACAGGAAACTGTATATACCGAGCAGATTTTCGATGTCGAGTCACACATCAATCATATAAATCCATATGTTACTGCAAATCCTTTAGAGCAGTCACTTTTGAACACTTAAAGGCCTGAAGCACCTCATTATCAGAGTAGCAATTACACACTATTATTCTGTAGTACTGTATTGAGAATTTGAAATGTAGGATTCATGTTTTAATTGAGTTGATTGACAGGAGCGCTTACCTTGTCAGACGATCTGCTGCATGTGTCTACGATTGCCCACTGATGTATAAGTCCACCTCCGCCTCTCTACACCCACCATGGTATCGGTGTCAAACAGGAAACTTGCTCACCTTATTTAAGGCAGTCAGCCAGAGCATTAGTTTTCTGTTCATGTTAGGCCTGTGACCATATATACTTACTTTGAACAAAAAAGTCAATGTTAAAAAAGCTTCATAAAGAAAATAAACCACACTGACACTGAACAAAATGTCACCAGCAGGGACTCTTTTAATTAACACATGCCAACATCAATATAAGAAAGAAAATGCAGTGTCTTATAATAATAATATGCATTACACAGTAAATAATGAAAATGTTTCATTATTATTAATCTAAATATATATTTCCCATCTCCAGCATTGCTCACAAAGCTTCAGCGTATGCCTCTTTTTTTATTTTTTTTCATTTATGTATTTATTCAAACAAGGACCATGCATACAAATACATGAATATCAGAAAAGAGAAGAGATGTTTTATGCCGGATCAGAGTCCTGAATTTCTCTGACCTTTCACCTCTCCTCCTCCAGAGAGGCGCTTCCCGGCTGATGCATGTCCACAGAGTTTTCTGTCTTCTTCTTGGAATTCCAATTCACACTAGAGTAAATAACAGTATTGCCTTTCTCCTTCTCTGAGCTTTTACGGGCTCCTTCTGCATTGTTTTGTCTCATGCCTTGCAAGTTGGTGCTGTTTGGCTCAGAGATGATTGTGGTGGGCGACATCTGCCTGTCTCAGCGCTTCGCTGTTGACATAAATGTCTTCTTCTGTTGTGTTTGGTATCTATACAATTAAAGAGACAACATCAGCTAACGGTGAAAGAGAACTAGGAATAGAAAACTGCTTGGCTTTAAGTCAATGTACCTCATTGCCCTCTCCACTCGTTAGAAGTTGGCTCATAACTGTGCTGGTGTCCCCCGTGCGTTGACCCTCCTGAAGGTTGTGTTGGGTCCGCCGAATCCTGGCAAAGGCAATAGTACATTCAACTATGTGTAATTTTTCATGTATTCATCAACAGGATGAAACCACTGATCACAGTGAAAGCACAGAAAAGGAAATAGCTTAAAGGAACTAAATGTCATGGATATGAATTTAAACTCTGTTAAGGGTGTTCATTTTAGTCAGCCAAGTGGAGGTTTAAACTATCAGAGTGATGAGATGTACATGTCGGGATTGACAAGTGCTGTTTGACATGTTTTTATAATATACACCAGTGTTGGCAGTGATCCTTTATGAAAAGGCACTTTTCCTCTTCCTCTTGTCTTTCCTAAAATCATTGTTATGAAGGTACATTTTGCAGTTGCAATTTGAAAGTACCCTGTTGAATGTGTTTTGATGAATAAAGACAGAGTCCAAGTTATATAGTGCAACACTTTACCCTACCTGATAACAAACAGCAGAGCACAGACTAGTACTAATAGAGTGCAAACTGTGGTGATGAAGACTGGAAACATCACTCGATCTGAAACAAACAAGGGACAATAAAAGTATAGGAGTTTATTAATTGGATAACAGTTTGGACTTACTCTATACACAGACATTCCACCAGCAGTTGTTAACTCAAATGTGTTATCACCACCACTCATCACCTCGTACTCACTTTTAACTAATACGTTAGCAGTATGCTAGATAGAAGAAATGAGGGTGTGTTCACACCTCAGGAAGTCACACCAGAATTTCCATCCATTTTCACACATTTGTGAAATGTGTTGAATAACAACACTAGGTTCCCCTGCCACATACAATACCCACTCCCACTTGGCTACCTCAGGCATTTCTGGTCATTTAATTATTTCAAAAATGAATGCAATACTTCATAGAAACCAATCCAAAAGTATTTCAAACATAATTGGTTGTCTCTAGTGTATAAACCTAGTCCATATCTCAATACACAAATAAATAAATATCTTGATTTCACCGGAATTTCCGTAAATCCTAGATTCCAGCTAACCAATAACATTTGAATTCAGGGCACATAAGACAGACCTTGGCTGTTTGCAGATGTTTCAGGCCCAAGGCTGTTGACACAGAATAGTTGACTGGCAGATCCCAGGGAGTTGTAGCTGCGGCAGAGCAGGGTGGAAAGATCCCTCTCCTCATGTCGACTCACAGCAATGATGCTCCTCAGACCTGTGTCATTCAGAGGCTCATAACTGATGGAGAACATGTCAGAGTGATTGACAGGTGACCCATCCAAATACCACTGTAAGGTGGGAGAAGGGTTTCCAGCGGTCTTGCAGGAACAGTTGAGCTGGGCTTCATCTTTGGTGCAATCAGATGATGGCAAGATCTGTGGAGCAACTTTAATGGATGTAGAGAAAACAGATGGGTTATAGTCAAGAATAGTCTCATCTATATATCTTAACGTTAAACAAATGTCAAGATTTAGGGAATGAAATAATAATTGAAAAGTTGTGTGTGAAAACTATCAGAATGCACATCACAGAGATTCATTATTTATTTGTAGATATTTAACACAAGGTTTTCTGCGCTGAGTCCAAAAAGTTAAGAGAAAAAGCTCAAGTCAATTAAAACATTGGTAATAGTGAGTTTCAGCAAAGGACAAGTTAACCTACATGAAATATTAGCTGTTAATCTTGTGCTAACAGCTGACTCAGCACTCCCTTCCTGTTTGTTGTAGGTGGCTGTACAGGAAATGGTCTTTCCTTGATGTTGGTGAGAAGCCGTGAAATTCACAACAGAGGTCTTGACTTCAATTTTGTCCTCATTCTCCTGCAGTGTCTCCTGACTGAGCCCCAGGCCGGGGGTCCATGTCAGAGTTGGAAGATGAGACCGACAGGGAGCTGGAGCAGAGCACACCAATCTCACCGAGGCTCCCTCCTTCACCCTCAGTGTGGAAGGAGTCAGAGTAGGTCTAGGAGGGTCGTCTGGGAAGGTATGAAGGTACATATTAAATTAGATGACTTTATTGTCATTACATAATGCAAGCAGAGTGTACATACAAACCATCCGCTGAATACACAGTCATTCCCTGTCTTTCTTTACACTATTTTTTTCAAATTGCAATAAATGCAAAACAATGTCAGGTCGGTTCTACAAGGGGAAATTAAGTTCAAATAAATAGACTTTAGAACCTACCTTTGACTGAAATATTCACGGTTGATTGCAAAAAATTATATTTCAGGGCATTGCATTCCAGTCGAAAGGCATATGTATTGCTGTCAGCAGTTTGCATGTTATTTAGGGTTGTGGTGCAGTCTTTTTTTGTCAAGTCTCCTATCAGTGTCCCCTTTATTGTAGTCTGTTGTGGATCCCTGCTGTTGAACACAACGGTTCCTTGATGAATTGTCCATACTGCTCTGCATGTGCTATCCAACGTTGGTTTATGTATGTTGGGTACGTCAAAGGAGCAGGGGATGGTCACACAGGATCCACTGAGAGCGTGTATAGTCTGTGGCATAATCACCTTAAACTCTACACACAGGGCACCTAGAACACAACAAACACATATCTGTATAAGAGTTCATCACATTTTACAATGATGAGACATCGGGAGTATTTTTTGCTGACTCGCTTACCAATAATCCAAAAAGACAACCTGCTTTTAGGTTTAAGTACAATAACAAATTATTAGCCATTCAAAAAAACCTTAATTAGCTCTCCGCAGACTTATTTTTTCTGCAGTATTGCATAAACCACTAAATGTGAAGCAAGTAAGAGTTTTTATACATTTTAGAAGAACTAATGAAAGTGTAAATGAAGTTTAACTCACCTTGCAGCAGGGAGACGGTGAGGAGGACAGTCAGAGCTGTTGCCATCTTTGTGTCTCAGAAGAGGAAGAAACTCTGGAAATATATGCAACAACATTTAGAGCATTTCATCCCTTATTAACTCAGATTTTTTGTTTAGGTTTCTTTAAAGGCCATCATTTGAACAAAATGTATCTGGATTTTAACTAAACAATTAAATGTATAATTTCTCGATTAAATACATTATTTCCCAAGTCTTTTATAAAGCTTTGATTCAACAAATGGGAAATACTGGTTAGAGCTGAGGTAAATTAGTATATGACATATTTTGAAACCAGATATAGGATAAGACATTTTATATCAATATACTTTGATGATGATGAAACATCCAAACTTTTAGATTTTAGAGTAGTTTTAAATAAATGTATCTTATTTGATATGTGCCATTTAGAAGTTATGAGGACTTACCTCTTACCTAGAGATGTTGATGTTTAGAGAAGTGAAGTGACGCTGCTTTTATAAACAGTCTGCAAGACGTGTAAATGAGGAAGGCCACATGTGTAGCACAAAGTAAAAATAATACTTTTAGCACCTTTCAACACAAGGCAATTCAAAATGCTTTACAAACATTGAAATATACGTTAAGAGCATTAAGACATAATGCAGCGGAAACACATTATAAAATGGCATTTACAAATATAATAGATAATAATAATAGAAGTTACAGTTCAGTGTTAGATGTCAATGGTTACATTTAAAAGCAGCGGCAAAAAGAAAAGTCTTCAGCCTGGATTTAAAAGTAGTCAGAGTTGCAGCGGACCTGCAGGTTTCTGGGAGTTTGTTCCAGATATTTGGAGCATAATAACTGAACGCTGCTTCTCCATGTTTAGTTCTGACTCTGGGGACAGAAAGCTGACCAGTCCCTGAAGACCTGAGAGATCTGGATGGTTCATAATGTGTCAGTAGATCATAAATGTATTTTGGGCCTAAAACCATTCAATGCTTTATAAACCAGCAGCAGTATTTTGAAATCTATTCTTTGACACACAGGAAGCCAGTGTAAAGACTTCAGAACAGGAGTGATGTGATCCACTTTCTTAGTGTCAGTGAGGACTCGAGCAGCGGCGTTCTGAATTAGAAAAAAAAATCTTTTTAGTGAGACCTGCAAAGATTAAATCCACAACAAGTAGAGCTTAAAGTATTTTTATTATTTGTATACATTATACACAGCTTATTTATATAGGAACGTCACTGGTGTTACGTGTTACCAGAAAGAAGAGTAACACCAGTGACAATTTGGAGAAAACACTACCATTTTAACAAAATGGCTGCCATGTGTCAGACCACAAATGGCTTCAGTCAATATCAAAATCGTGTAACTCTTCAATACAATACATTTTCCCATTAAAATGTTCACCCCTAGGGCTATGCAATGAGTAACACTAATGACAGACTTGAAAGACGCACGTACAATTTGAAGATAAAATGACACCTTTAACAAACAAAGTCAGAAGTATCTGACTTTCCTTATGTCTTTGTCCACTGCACTGCCTCAAATGATCTCTTGTTACAGGAGGCTCTTCAGAGACAGTACATTACTTCAAAAATAAAAGCGTTTTGTGTAGCAGTAACACCAATGACGTAATTTTGGGTAACTGACATTTATTGGATATTATTAATAATAATTAGCGTTTTTATTACCATTTCAGTGTTATATTTAATGCTTGTAATGTTATGTAAATATGAATGAGATTTATTTATTGAAAAAAAAACATTTTAAATGAAAACTATAGGCTCCACTTCCATGTATGATCAAAGTGACAAGGCAGTTCCTTGAACTTGGCATTTTAAAAAATTGCAATTTATGTATAAACATTTTTTTAAATGTCTTTATTTAGTACCATTGCAAAGACAATCTCTATTTATTCAACATATATAATGAATGTGAGTATTAGGTCAATGTCATGTATTTTGGTGTCTGCAAAAGTAAGTGACAGTAGCCTACTTCCACCTTTTCTGTAGAATGACCCCATTACAGTAGTCCAGTCTACTGAAGATAAAAGCATGGACAAGTTTTACCAACTCCTGCTGTGACATTAGTCTTTTAATCCTAGATATATTCTTTAGGTGATAGTAGGCTGATTTAGTAACTGTTTTAATGTGACTGTTGAAGCTTAGGTCAGAGTCCATGACTACACCTAGATTTCTGGCTTTTTTCTGTTGTTTTGAACATTGCAGACTGAAGCTCAGCGCTAACTTTTATACGTTCAGCCTTGGCTACAAAAACAATTACCTCAGTTTTATCTTTGTTTAATTGAAGAAAGTTCTGACACATCCAGTCATTGATTTGTTCAATGCACTTACTCAGTGTTTGAATTGGATCATCCTGAACATTGTTTAGGGAAATTGATTGATTATAAAAGACATAATCCCTTTCACCTATGGGAAGCAGACACATATTCACACATGCCTTTTTATCATTTGTATTAATCATTTAATTTAAGCCACATCCTATTTCGATTCTTGTCTCCTATATAATAAATCTCGCAATTCTTATGAGTCTCCCAAACCCATGACAAACTTCAGGCTACTCCCCTATGCTTCTCCCTGGACCATTTTCTATCATAGAGTCAAGAAAAGTTCTTACACGCTTTTGGGTTCAACATTTATGTCAGGCTTTAGGTCATGAATATTCCTGGAACTATGCTCTGATCATAAATATATATCCAGGTCAGTTTAACCACAGGAATCACTGTTTGTACTGTACCTTAAAATGCCACAGCTAATGTTCATCACAGCTTCATATACAGATCAGGAAATGTTAACTTTTACCCCTGCGGTAGACATTGCCCCGCTGTTACTGCTCCACCACCACTCCTGATCATGTATCATTGAAAATAAGATCTAAAAAAAATCAGGGAAATGGTAAGTGATTTTATGTAGGCCTATAGGCAGTATTTTAGTATAGTAGCCTAGTATACAATCTTGATTCTTACAGGATTTATTTTTCGCCGACTAATTTCGCCGACCTAATTTCCAACAGCGCTACTAAGCAATTAGTAGCCTAACCTAAACCCAACACAAGATGGCACCGTGTTCATTTGTTGTAACTGAGCAGGAGAAGGTTTATTTCTTGCTGAAGCAGATGACAGTGTTTCTCTTCTTCCCTCTGTGGTAGCTGTAACCCCTCAAAGTAACATCTGTTGACTTCACTTTTCAAGGGATTCCAAATAATATTTTAATTAAAGAAGCTGTATACAAGTGTGATTTAATACATAAATATAAAACATGTAAAGAAAACGGGAGACATGTTGTGATGGTTGAGTCAAGCAGATAAAAAGATAATAAGTATGTCAATTGAGTTAAAGAAGGCTCAAAGCCGAACATTAGGCTAAGTCTTACTGTTAGTTGACTCATGGTGGATGCCTTGAAAACAGCTGCTGCTTAGATGGAGACCTTTTACAAACACTTGCTACATAACATGTCTTCCTCCGGTCAGATTTGTAGAAGACTCCAGCAAATCTAAAATATTTTTCTTGAGCTCCTTGGCTTTCTCTGCGTTCTCTCCTGTCTCCACCTGCTCTTCTGCCACCTGGAGCCCTCTCAGCACAGACTGCAGGGCGTCTGCATTCTTCACTGAATCCATCTGATCTCTGTCTTCCCGGATCTCCTCCACCCAGTCCAGGTATGCCTGAAGTAATCCCAGGTCATCCACAAAGTTTGCAATAATCCGGAGTCCAGGTCGACATTTCTCCAGCTCCCTCAGCCTCGCCCTCCCCACCTCTCCGATGTCATTCCCAACAATGCTGATGGAGGAGAAAATAAGCAGGTAAGAGTTTACTTTGTATTACCTTTCAAAGCATAGACTCACACTATAGGGCAGTGTTTCCATGCATTATAACAATGAAACCGCGGAGCAGAGGTTTCAATCTTACGTCAGTGTCTTCAGAGCCTTGTTTTTGCTGAGGCAGTGGACAATGTTTTCTGTTCCTCGTTCTGTGATGCCGGTGATGTCTAGATAAAGTTCCTCCACAGTGGTGTTGTGCTCAAGAGCGTTCCACAGCTCCAAAACCCCGTCTGGTCCCAGGTTATTGCCACACATACTGTGGACATGCAGAGGAATTGTGTTGCAATTAAATACCTAAAGTGTAGTGTTTCATATCAAGGGCTTTGTGCCAGGGCCAGGCTATCTGCAGCAAACATCTTATTCAGTCCCTCAAAAACAAAGGCCTTAGAATGTGTGTGAATCTTGAAATACAATCTGCTGAAGACAGTTAGCTAGAGTTGTTTATATTATTTTGTAATTCGTTATAACCTTATTCAAAGTTTTATTATGATAGCTCTAAAATATACTCCGTAATGACTTACAAGAGCTTCTTCACTTGGCACTCATTCGACTTCAGAACTGCAGATTCCAAAATAGCAGCTTGCCTATCCAGGCAGTTGTATCTCAAACTGAAAAATATAGAAAAAAACAAGTTAACATTGATTTTGGCATACCATTCCTCTCTTAAAGAAGAGTGGAGCTGACCTTAATCACAGGATGCATTATATATAAATGAAGAGGATGTACACCTAGGTTGGCAGTCACTCCACACAGAAAAGCATTGGCCAGCCAGGAAATTCAAACTCAGACTTGTTTTTATTGTCGAGTAGTAATATTGTAATGTATCATCTATCTGAAAGGTTAATGTAGAGTCAGTTACTCACTAGAGAGATTCACAGCGATGTAGGATTGGCCATAGTCTTTTGAGGCCTCTGTTTCCAATGTTGGAGTAGCCCAAGTTGAGCTCTTGGAGTTTGTGTGGAGAGAACTGCAGCACGTAATGCATGGCTGCACAGTCCACTACACTCAGCTTCATTTTAAACAGGTACAGTTTCTTAATCTCTGGTGCTACCAGGCTGGTGGCTTCCTTCATGTGGAACTCCATCAGGCAGTGGAGAAGATTTAGGGATGCCTGGTTCTTTAGCTCCCCGTGCTTAAATTGCTCTTGGAACCACAAACCCAGCCTGGTGGGGATACCATCCCCTTGCTCCATTGGGGAAACTTCAAGGCCATCCAACTGACCTGCCAGCCGAGCTCGGAGCATCCCGAAGAAGAAGCGTGTGAACATCTGGAGACTCTCCAGCTGGTCCATGTTGATGTCTGTGTTTCTCAGGGGTGCAGCTGTGGAGGATGGAGGGCGTAGCCCGAAGCACCATAAGTCAAGAGCTTGGATTATGTCCTCCTGGCTGAAGAGGTTGACGGCACAGTAGAGTGAAGCCAGATGTTCTTGAACAGTCAAGTGAAAGAAAGAAAACATCTCCACTGTTTCCTCTTCGACAGGCTGGAGGATTTGACAGAGAAAGGTGCTCTGAAGATCGCCAGGTGTAACATCATACTTCTCCAAATCTGCTCTGCTGAACATGATCTTCTTCTGAAGAAGGTTTTCATAGGCCAGTTTTCCTAACTTTGTCAGTTGTTGCTTTGCTAGGGAGAGAACCTCAGATCTTGAGGTGCTTCTCTCTGCACTACCCCTTAGTGCATGGTGCTTGATTGCTGTAAACAGGTAGCAGAAGTAAACCTCGCTGACCGTTCTGGGCGGGTTTAGATCCAGAGATTTTGAGTCACCCGCATCTGGATTTTCTGAAGAGAAGAACTCAGCCATCGCGGTACAGATGATGTAGCAATAAAGAGGAATGAAGGACAGCACGAAAAGGCTGTCATTGTTCAAGATATAATCATAGACCTTTTCAGCAACTTTTCCGTCTTTGTAGAACTTGGTGGTATATTCTTTTACCTGGTCCTCCTCGAAGCCCAGCACCACACTACATCTTTGGAAGAAACGCTTGGGTGCCTCAGTAGACGGTCTTGTTGTGAGAATGACTGATGCCTCTGGGAGAAGGCTTCCCTTGATTAAAGCCACCATCAGCTCAGACACTGGCACCTTTGAGCGAAAGTCAATGTTTTTGTCAGGACTGTTCCAGTCCAAGGTGAATTTGAACTCATCTAATCCATCCAAGATGAAGAGCAAAGAGCTTGGTGAAGTGAAGAGATCAGGTAGTGCTTCCTTTAGGTACCGGAACCGTTCTCCAAGCAGCTCAAATAAGCTCAGTGGAGCTTCAATCAGATTGAGCTCTCTGAAGCGTAGGTCAAAAATGCAGGTGAATTCACGCATGTTCTTCCCGATCGCCCACTCATAGACGAGTCTCTGTACTGCTACGCTCTTTCCGATTCCAGCAATACCCTTCACTTTAACCCTTTTAGGGGGCCGTCCTGATGTCCCTTGGGGGTCCAATAAATGGCATGGTTGTATACGCTGGCAAGCCTGATGAACATAGATGCGAGCCCGTCTGCTCGCTAGGTCAAAGTACTCATGTTTGCTGCTGTCTACACAGTCATCATCTTCTGTCACGAAAAGGTCAGTGTAGCGGATCTCGATGTGAGAAGCTGAGTTTGAAGCCACTCCCTCTCCCTCTGAGTAACACTTCAACTGCTCTGTGCGTTTCAGCAGGGTTGTTTTATGGGCAGAAATAGGAACTGCAATGGAAGACAGAAAGATTAAATTCATTGCCAACAAACTTCAATTATTATTTATATATATGATAAATACTTTTGACTTATTTTCAATGCCCTAAGATTACATACCTCGGAGGTTGGCCAGCTTTAAACTCCTGCTAGGTCTCAGTTGTTCTTTTGCTGCACATAAAGATCATTTCACTTAAATGCTTTTTCAAATAACAGACAACTACAAAGAAAGTTGTAGAAATGATATATTATACCTTTTGCTTCAGTAGTCAGGGTAAATCCTTTGCTCTTTCCTTTGAACAGTTTAGCAAAACCTTTAGGCTTCTTTTCTGTGGATTAAACAGGATGCATGTGCTAACATATTTGATATGTATGATATTGCACAGTGTAATTTCAAGATGGTTTGAATATCATGCATTTATTTATAATGTCAGATTCACAGGAGAAGGTGTTGCCTGAGCATTTTTTAAATACAAATGATCTTATATGAAAGACATTTGGAGTCTACAGACATGCTACCAACTCAGGCTGTAAGTGCTTTGAGACAAATACTACAATGCTTACAAAGGAAATGCCAACTTGCTTTTGTTTAGCATGGGATATGTTGGTTATAAATTGTTGAGATATTTACAAGTCTGGATAAAAGTGATATGCTGACTGGCAAGCATTGCCATTCTTAAAGCCACAATGGTATCAAAATGGCATAACATTGAACTTATGATAGCTGAGTTACATTCTTTTTGTGCATGTACACCCTCCTTAATTTCCAAAGTCAGCAGAAATCACTTGGCAAGACATCACCGATTATTGTAATGTGTTAATAATCTTCTCAACCTCTGCATGGTACTCAGGCAGTAAAACCTTATTGTCTTTAGTTCCAGTTAGTCACTTTTCTTCTCACTTTAAATGCACCTTAAATAAACAATCCTCTGCAGTATATTAAAACAACCTCACCTTCAACTTTCAAAGGTTCAGGCGCTGGCTTACTGACACCTTCCCTGCAGTGTCTCTCCACCCAGAGCTGGAGATCTCTGCAGTAATAGTCCTGCACCTCCCGTAGCACCTGCAGGAACTTTTGGCTGCTCTCCTCAGTGGCACACACCATCTCCATGGCCTGGGCCACAGCATTGGATGGTGACCTCTCCAGCAGGGACAGGTAGTGAGCAGGAGAAAGCACCTCAGCATCACGCAGCCAACGCAGCAAGGGAGCAGGGTGATCCAGAGTCAAGCTCAGCAGCAAGTCCCTCTGAGACCGGAGCAGGTGCTGAGCTGAGTTCATGGCTTTGGAATATACTGTCAGGAGGAATACAATAAATACATGGTCAATACACAATATATACATTAAGATAAATATGTCTTACTTATCATTTACACTCAGTAAACTATTATAACTCAATATGGAAAATACATTACCATGCTTATTCATTTGAAATTCTTACCTTAACGTCACCTTTCCTCTCGTCTATTTGTGCCATTGCACTTTTGTGTTGGCAGTGCTGATAGTGTTCTGCCTTAAGGTGCAGGGAGGGGGAGTGCATTGACTTACTGCAGGCAGCAATTCAAAGCATAATTCAAAGAGTCCATAGTTCAAAGTGTTCATTCTTTGTCCCTGCCTCTGATTCATCGCCTATGTTTGATCTTGCAGAAACATGCCAATCAAGTGACTTGGTATTATTGCCATTATGAAGCAAAAATATCAAACTATTATGCATTTCAAATGAAATAAAACGTACTATACAGTAAGTATACTGTGTGTATATTATATAGCAGTATTATATTTGTATGTATTTGTGTGTAAATTAACAGATTGACCAGCAGTCTAAACAGTATCTGCTCAAATACAAAATGTTTATCTTGACACTTTTTACTTTTCCCTCCGTCTTCTCACACAACTGCTCTGACCTACTTATAATGACGGATCTTTATTGTTGACAGAACGGATACAAATCAGTGTCAGGCAGAAAAGTTAATCATTCATTTGTTTTGTTCAACTTTCTATGGAGTTTTACCACTATCACTTTTCTAACACTGTTCGAGGTTTGGTTGGGACAGTGTGCGTAGACAGAGGGAATCAGAAATGAACACATTTGGTGTTTGGAGTCTTTGAGGAAATGGCCAGCAGCATGAGAGTGACTCACCCTTTGTCATGTGTTGTCTCATAGATACTTGCTGAGGTCTTTCTTTCCGAACCATTCCTCATCACTTGAAAAGTATTTGAATATGTTTACATGTTAAAATAAACGTGGGCAAGTTGTTAACCTACCACTGCTAAATTCAAAATGATCCTCCGTGGTCTGTTATAAATCTATGTGTTACGCATAGCTGATATAAAAGATATTGGAAGAGTAAGAGGATGTATTAAAGTGAAGTCAGGAGCACGATGTAACACTTCCCCCTCTTTGCTCCTTTGTTCATCCTTTCCTCTGTCTGTGCTGGCAGAGCAGGGTTGCAGTCATGCACGTTGACACTATCTTCCTTCTGTGTCCTCTCATTTTTGGTGAGTAATTCATATTTAAATTAACTAGCTTCAGATATCTGTATACATTGCAAAGTTATTCTTTATCAAGACATGTTATCCTAAATAAATTATCCCAATATCTCTTTTATTACCATAATTATTACTGTAGAGATGGAGATATTGGTATTTTTTGTCTCCTGCAGAACATACTGTAGTCAATTAATCCTGTTTCTTTAATAATTACAAGCTCATTTATTATCTTCATATAAACTGGCAACACTTTTTAATTGTTAATTTCTGTTTTCAATATATGTACATGCCCTTATTTAATAGTGTTTTACTTTTTGTCTATCTTCACTTTTGCTGTAACAATGTGCATTTCCCCTATGTAAGACGAATAAAGGTATTCTGAGGCAATCAAATTCTGATTATTATCTGTTAATAAAAGTTTAATAATATATGCAAATAATCCCTAAACCAATAAGGATAAATTCACAATATCAATGTACAAAACAGTTTAATAGTAGATTTTCCAGAGCAAAAACTGCTGCTGTGTTGGGGATAAGGGTTCTTCCCGTTTCTAAAAATACATCTGTTGCAAAACGGTCCTGGGTCATGTTATGCAGACAGTGCAGCTAAATACATCAGCTTTAACCTTTGATTGTCTACAAATGTGTTCAGTATTATTAGCTTTATTTAAGATATAAAGGCTTGGAACACTAATGCTTTAATTGGCCATGTTCCCTGCAAATGGTCTCTTGCTTAATTATGCTCAAAGTTTAAACAAACATGAACACATCATACATGAACAGTTATGAGGCAACTAATGGCAGGATGGCTTGATATAAACCTGCTGTCTACTGTGATTTGAACCTGATCCTACTGTAGACCTTGGCCTAGTAACATGTGATCCTGTGTATGGATATTGATAATTATTTCCAGTTCTTTATCCCAGCAGCAGCAGCCTTGTGGAGGAGGGTCCATGCTGTGTCCCCTGTGCCCTCAGTCCCTGCACATGTCCAAGCACTGGTAGGCTCCTGTGTGGTGGTCCCCTGCTCTTTCACCCCTCAAACTCCTTACCCTCTCAGGGGGAGGAAGAGGGTGGACGTTCGGATTAGGTTCAGAGGTGGTAGACATATCTTTCCACTCCGCAGCACAGCTTTTAACAGCGAGGACAGAGATCAAGTGAGTCGGGATTTCCAAGGCCGGGCGTCTCTCTTTGGGCGAATTGCAGATGGAGACTGCTCAGTGAAGATCGAAAGGATCAGCCAGGACAACTCCCGGGAGTTTGAGATGGCTCTGAAGAGAGGGGACGAGTTACTTTGGGGGAAGCCACGGAGCTTCAGTCTGGATGTTGTGGGTGAGTGGGGGGGGTTGCTATATTCTCTCTTTCTTCTCTCATAAAACAAGTTGTTGCTTTGGAACTTTGACAACAAGATAATGTAGGCTTTTCAAAGCTTCAGAATGTGGAAAGATAAAAGCGTAGAGTAGAAATACGATATAAAGTTAAAAACAATTACCTGAGATAAATGTAATAAAAAAAAAAAATAGCCAAACAAATAAATACAAATAGATATCTAAAATGAGCAGTATAGAACAAAGTTATTTTCTACAAGGAAACAAAATAATTTGGAATCATCCACCCTAAATACACAACCACTTTTGGGATGATTGATTGAATAGCTTTGTAATGGACATTTAGACCAATAATCCAAAATACTCGTCTGTGCTCTTTTAGAACTTTTGTTTTCATGACACAGTATAGTAAAAGTAAAGTGTTGATGGAGTTATTCCTCAATGACAGACACCCCTGAGGTTCCTGTCATCAGCGGCATGTTGTCAGCCACAGAGGGGCAGCTGGTCACGCTGAACTGCTCCGTCAGATACTCCTGTCCCTCCAGACCCCCGACCCTTCGCTGGAGCTGGGAGAGAGGAGACTGGCCCAACGGCACTGAGCCCGCGGGGGTGCAGACGCTCCACCCCGAGCCCCACAGGCCGATGTTACTCTCCACTCTGTCCTTCACTGCGTCACACAAGGTGAAACCCAGGCTGAGATGTGAAGCCAGCTACCCAGGAGCCAAAGCATTATCCACGTCAAAGGATCTGCATGTGACCTGTAAGGATGGCTTTGACTACTATCTTTGTGTTTCCTGGCTTATTTGACACTGACACATTTTCTTTCTTTTTTTTAAATTGTCTTTAGTTTCACCCAAAGATGTAGTAATTCAGATCCAGACCTTGGTGGTGCAGGAGGGGGGCAGCGCCTTGTTGGTCTGCTCGTGTAAAGCCGACCCTCCGGTGTCAGTGTACCGCTGGTCCTACAGTCAGCACGGCCGCACGGTGCACCTCCACCATCGCACACACACAATCCGGGTGTTCAACGTGACCCGGGACATGAGGGTCCGCTGCTTAGTTCAAAACCAGATTGGTCGAGGAGAGTCCAAGCCCACGCCGCTGAACATACAATGTAATACTTTCTTCTAATTTCTTGTACCCCTCCCTCTGATGGTCATACACACATTTGGAATATTTTACAACAAGCCTCACCTACATGTGTTGGATTTTTGCTGCTGACAGAGTAACATAAGCAACATAACACAAGTTTCACCGCCCTTTTGTGTTGATAGTTTGAAATCCTGTGGGGGTCAGGGTTTTTTTCTGTTGCACACCCTACAGTGATGTAAAAGTGTGCAGATCACAACCTGGAGTACACTTTAACATCACTGATTTAACAAACATGATTTTTTGTTGGCTTTGTTTCCATTTTTCTTTAAAGAGTTCTAAGGGTTTTTAAGAAAACTTTTCATGGTTCCCTTTTTTTATTGGAATGTAGCCAAATGCCACTATGTAAATGTTAACGTCACTTAAATGTCTGTATGGTTAATACGAAGCTACTACCAACAGTCAAGGACTCGAGGAAGTTATGTGCATAAACATTGTACAATGGTAAATCATTGTTTTTACACTGTGGTATGTTTCCAGATTAAACAAACAACATATAACATCTAAATTAGTGAGCTTTAAAAGTGTATAGAGGTAATTTCATTTAATTTGGACCGAGCCAGGCAAGCTGTTTCTCTGTTTCCAGTGTTTGTACTCAACTAAGCTAGCAGCTTACTGGCTCTGCAATAAAGCCAATAAGCGTATTTTCAAAAAATGTGTTATCCTTTATAGTTAAAAAAGAAGAAGAGATTAAAAAGTTCAGCGAAGTTGAAATGTGCTCTTTCTATCCTACAGATAAACCAGTGATCCTCCGGCTCTCCTCCACCTGTGTTGTGGAGTATTTGGAGGTGCTGTGTCACTGTTCAGTCGACTCCAAACCCAAACCGGCCATCACCTGGAGCGTGAATGGTACTGTTCCCCCTCGTGATTACAACGGGTCTGTAACATCTGAGCCCGGTGCGCTTACAGCCACTCTGAGGGGCCACATGGACAAACCTCTGACTGTCATCTGCTTTGCTTTCAACGCACTGGGAAATGACTCCCTGTTGTTGCTGCAGGGAGAAGAAGGTGTGTTAAAAGTGTTTAACTCTAACAAAGTCTCGAGCTCTGCCTCTTGTTTATTCACTCTGATATAGGGATGGAACTGAGACATCTGTGCAACATGCCTGCAGCTTGGAAACATAAGATCATTTGCTGAAGAATGCTGCAAAGATAACCTTGAGCTGTATTTTTTACAGCTTTTCAGTTGTGGCAGTTTAATATGTATATCTTTTTTACGTAAAAAAATGCTAGCTCTTATAATGGAATATCTAAGTGAAGCTGTTACATTAAGCTCGAGGGTCAAGCAGTATTTCTGAAATGCCAAGAGTTGAACTATAATCCATGTAGTTAACCACCTGAGTTTCACATCTGATCCCTCGCTGCTTGTTTTGTCTTAAAACAGAGACAACCTTTTTGATGTGGTTGGTGATACCTGCTGTGTCCATCTGCCTGGTCTTATTCCTTCTGTCTCTTTCTTTCTACTGCTGCCGAAAGAGATCTGAAAAGTATGTGAAGCAAATCAGCCCTAAAGAATGTTCCTCTAAAATGTTCTCACTTGTTTATTGTGAGTATTCATGTGCTGCTCCTTTCAGACATGTTCTGAAAAGACTCCCAGCTGTGTACCCTGAAGGAATGGGGATTTATCAGGATCAGATGCCCCTCTACATTAACTGCACGGAAGTGACTCATATCTACACCAACGGCAGCTACCAACTTGTATACCAAAACTGCACACCTAATTTTGTCCATACGAAGCAGGTAGGTACCGTCCTTTTCAACAGAAGGCATTGCATTAAAAGAAAACATTAAATCTACAAATTATATATTTCCTATATTTGACAGATTAGCAACATTTGTGCTTTTTTTTCAGATCCATCCGATAGGCAGGAGAGGTGGGGAGAGAAGACGAAGAGGAGAGGGCGGAGGCATCGAAAGACGAGAAGATTTAGAAGTCAGAGGCACAAGAGAGGTGCAGAGTAATGTGGCCGATGCAGAGACGGCCATTTACTTGGAGATCATTTAAACTCACTGTGGATAAGTCGCAGGATCAACCTGATACATTGAACTCATTACACTTCATATTTTTTCTTACACTGATGGTAATGCATTGTTCATGTATATTTCAGTTATTGTAAATATCGTACACCCATACATACATTTTTTGATATCTTCAATATTAGTCTCTCATAATGTCCAAATCGAACAAATGAAGTGTTTTCAGTCTTTGTCTGTAACCTGCGTCTGTGCTTTTTTTTTTATAAACGAAGACAAGTTTTTTTTTTAAATCACAAGCCCTCATATTTGATTTGGTCTTACCGTTCTACTGCTCCAATTATTCACAACAATTGCCGCATGTCTAACAGAAAGTGTTCCTCAGGCGATATTTCGGAGTTCCTCTAGGGAGAAAGACCGCAGCTCAACCTGTAATGCAATTTGCAACATTTATTACATAAATGAGAAAGTGTTTCCCAGTGCTCATGAGAGAATATGCCTCACCAAAAGCAAACATGTCATTACAGGAAAAGCCCAGGAGTAATTTACAACAAGAATAATGGCTCTGTTCTATTAAGTTTCTCAGTAGGGGTTGCCAGTGTGAAGAAAGCTCTACAGCAGCGGTTCCCAACCTTTTTCAACTCAGGGCCCAGTTAAGAATAAAAAAAAATGTTGCGGCCCACATTCAACCATAAACAATACGGAGGCTAAATAAAGTTGTGATTGGTCAATTCAGAACATGTGACACGTTGTAAATCCAGTAGAACAGACCACTGTCAACTCAAGGACTGTGATGACCGTTGCTAAGGAGCATAGATAAACACTAGATGACTCACCCGCGCTGCTGGCCAATGGAGACCGACGTTGCCACATGGCGGCCATCTTGGCTGCTTCTCAGGTCGATTAAATGGATTCCTTGCGTCCCTCACTTGCGTAGTTTCCCTGCCTTTAGTCCCTCCCACAAGGGAAGCATGGAGAGACGCAAGGAAAGCGTCAGGTGAAGCGACGTTTGTGATGACGCCGCACAGCTGTTCGTCTGACAGCAGCCAGCTCTGTCCCCGTTATTTTCACAAACACCCCCGCCTCTGTTAGTACACATTTACTGACACAAACATTTGTATAATCTGTTGTAGACCCAAATACATTAAATAAAATAAGAACTCATTCTCAAAAAAGATAAACGCCAAAATGTATAAACGAAAAAAGCGATCATGAAAATGTTTCCAATAAATGAATAAAATGATTTTTGACCACTTTGTTGTTCAGATATATCACATATTTGTAACTAAATGATACATTAATTTAAACAAAACACAGTATAGACTGAGGAGTGACAAATCAACTTCCGATGATACCGAGGACCGACGAGCGAGGAAATGAAAATAATCGACCCGAGATGCAGCCCTTGCCACAGGCAGCTCGCTCATTCATAACATTATGTCTATAGTGAACTATTGAAATAACCGTAGATTGCTCAATTTTCAACCAGTTTGGTTTGTTATAAACATCAAAGATGTAGTTATGATACTGCATACTTATAATTATAATCATGAACTTTTTTTTTTCAACATGTGTTGTTGTCTCCTGTGTATCATAGCCATGCTAATAACATTTATAATAAACCAAACCGTTTGTAAATCAGTCAATATTTCAGCGAGTTAAGAGTATTTTTGTGCAGATCACTCACCTTACAACAGCTGTAGCAGTAGTTGTTGACTGTGGCACGATGGCCACTGGTGAGCTACGCTGGCGACTCCCCCTTGAGCCATCTAGTGTTTATATATATCTATGCTAAGGAGGATCAAGAAAGAGAAAGGAAAAGAGGTTCAAATAAAAATAAAAACGTAATAATGAAAATGTTTCCACACAAATCATAATGTTTTGCAAATTATTTGGCGCATATATTGAATTTACATTTACACCCTTTAATATTGTATTTGGGCTTTTAGATGAAGACCACACACAGTTAATAAATACAACTATTCTGGCTAAAATACATATTTTTAAAAGTCAATCAAGGAGTAATCTTAATTTAAGGTGTTTGAAGAGTAGATTCAAAATACAATTTCTTTAAAAAAAAATGATTGCCACAAAAATCAAAGGGTGGCTCAACACGCCATGAAATGGGAAATAATTAGCTCTAACGAAGAGTGGGATTAAAGAAACAATAAATATGCTTGCCATGTTGTTTTTTTGGTGGTATTTGGTTGTCAACCTATTTCTGTTTGTGAAATGTTGAAGTGGTATCTTTATTTCTTCTGTTTTTGTTTTGTTGTTGTCTGAGAGATGGGATTTCCATTCCTATATGTTATTGTTATGTCCATGTTTGTGTCTTAAGCATGTAAAAAAAAAAAAAAAAATTGAAATTAAATGTGTTTAATTATTTGCAATGCCTTCGCGGACCACTAGGGGGCCGCGGCCCACAGGTTGGGAACCGCTGCTCTACAGGACATGATACAGTAAAAGCTAAATGGAAAGGAGCCTTTTTTACGAGCAACCATTTATCACATCGTTCACACACAATGGTAAGCATTTGTTGTTAGAACAGTCATACAAAAATACATGATCAATACATAAACTGTTGTAGTTTAACGTTCACATCTAACTTACATATAGGATTTCACTCTTTATAGATTTCTAAATGCTCTGTTGTCAAGGGTTGTTTCCATAGTTAGATTCTCTGTTTTTCCATCATGTTGGCGTAAAAAGGCTTCCATACTTTACTTACATGAGAGGAGATGAAAAAGTGTGTTACTTACAAGAACACTTAAAGACTGGAAACCAACAGGAGTCATTGTTTAATGTTTTTTATTCAATTTTTTTGTAATACATTTGAATCATGTCTTTAATTAAATGTGTAGGTAGGCCTACAGTATTTTAAGATATTTAGTCTGACTGCGGTACAGCTCCTGAACGATTGGTGGCGATATAAATATGTCGGTGCTGCTATTTAACAGCAGAAGAAGAACCGAAAGCTCTGATTGGATGAAAATGCTGTTTTAGAGGATTGCGTCACAGGACGACACAGGCCAGGCTTTTGGTGGGAATATGAGTTCGCTTCCACGTATATATATCTCAAATTAAATCCATCCATATATGTTTTGTAATGTTAGATGCAATACCAACATGACTGGCTATGTGACAAGTACATAACCGATTCAGAATTTGTGCGTAACATCATTTTATGTTTGATAAAACCACAAGGCTAATCAGGGAAAGTTCACTCCGCCTATTGTTTGCTAGCATGCTATCACGTTAGCCAACAGTATATCTGACTTAAACTTTAAGTCAATTTAATTACATTTTGAAGGCTACATTTACAGCAGCTTGAAGGACATCTTGTGCTTTATGTCTTCTTAATTGGTTAACATAGTGTTTAGTGGTTACGCAGCGCTCAGTTGGTTTATTTAACATCACATTAGCTAATTCAACCTGTCAAGAATCAACAACATGCCAGAAATCCAACTCAAACACGTCGTGTCTTGCAGCACCGAGGACACTGTAAGTTCATTATATCACTTGCATTGAATGTTTACAATATTCCTTACACCAATATTTGTAGATGTATTGTGTTATTTAGGCAAATGAGAGCCGTCCTATTACCATTATCATAACCCTTTGTACGTGGCACATTCTTCTTATATTTTTTAATTGGTACTGTATTTTATATACCTAATGTGAACTTTTAAACTTCCATTGGACTTTTTTGTGCACCCCCCCTCCTGTTTTAATTAAAAATATGTTGTGATTTGCTTCTATATTGATGTAGTTCTTTTTGCAATATTTGTCTAATTTAATGTTATGCACCAAAAACTAAATTCCTTGTATGTGAATACCTACTTCAATTAACCATATTCTGCTGATTCTAATGTAAAACAGGCACACAAGGCAGACAACCTGCTGAGCTCTGACACCTACAGAAAGTGGAAAGCAGCAAGATCCGGGGAGAAGCAGACATCAGTCATTCTACAGGTATGTTTTTAACACACGTGTTTTCCCAAAGGCATGTTGTTATTTGTCATTGCTGATGTGAAATGTACCTAGGCTCTAGAAACCTGCTGATCCAGCATATTTGATCCAAATCAAACAGTGGCGCATCGACCTCAATTGCTGAGTTTCACGTTTTTTATGAGAAGTCCACCAAATTAGGGAGTGGGAAAGGAGCTTTTAGATCATTTGCTACCTCAGACAGAAATATCCAACATAGATTTGTTTTTTACAGATGTTTCGCTACCTGAATTCTGCTACCCTTTGCAAGACATGAAGTCAGTCTGTGGATGTTGTTTTTATCTTAAACTGATATTTTGGGTACTTGGCTTGCATCCTTTTTAAAAAGGCTTGTGATTATTTTATGCCGGATCATACTATATGTCCCTCATTGCCCTTCATTGGTTTAAAATCCACTAAAGAAATGGAAATATTTGGATCCTGACTTACCGTTTGTTATTGCCAAGTGTTGGGCATTCTTATTTTGTGTAACTTCTGAAGATCTATTAATCAACAACAGTTGCATGCAATCATGTTGATACAACAACAAACATTCTAAGAATCAGCAAGATTGATACCAATTAAACATTTTGACTTCCCTCCTTCTATGATACATTTGGGTCCTTTGTCTGAATCTTCTTGCTGAGTTCACATAATTGTTTAGAGATTATGCAGAAGTTAATTGCCTCTTTCCAGCTTATTCAAATGCTACTACTGCACATTTTTTTATTATCTGGGAGACAAATAACTATTGTGCTGCTCATCTTTATGTCCCTCCAGCTCCTGCCTGATGCTTTAAGAATAGATTATACGGTTTTAAGATTTTATATGGTAGAGTATTGATGTGTCAGGCAGAGTTTCCGTTAGAATATTTTTTCTCCGGTCAACATGTCCGTTAAAGTTGAAATCTTCCGGACAAAATGAGAAAAGTGCCGGTCAAAGGTCTTCTTTGTTATTTATTGAGCTTTAAAACAAATTGATATGATTCGATATTAAACAAACTAATTATAGGCCTAGTAGATTAACTACATTATTCAAAAGTGTACAGTAATTTATAATAACACGGGAATAATAAACGGAGCGCTCTCTCCCTCTCCTGTCAGCCCGTCAGTATCATGCAGCTCGCGGATCAGTAATGAGTGACCCGACAGTAAAACTAAACATATCTATAACTAGTTTAGGTAGTTTGAGAGGTCATTAAAATAGCTAGGCTACGTGTGATATTCTAACCTGGTGTGTGTTTTGTCCGCTCACGCTGCATGTGATCATGCAGAGCTGCGTGTCGACTCGTCAGCAGCAGCTGATCTCTCTCTCCCGTCAGATTAGACTTCACTCGCGTTTATGTCCATATCGATCAGATCCAGCTAGTTCTAGCTAATGATAGGACTACCTGCTTATTAAAAGACACCTAAACAATAAGCGTCGCTATGCAACCGGGTGAGGCCGCAAATTATAGCGCAGCATTTGTTTACATGCCCACCGGAACCCCGAGGCATTACCAACAGATCAACTCACAATCAACCCATACAGGAAATCTCTTTCTCCACATTACGTGTTAGACATTAGAATTGATTATTCTTGTCTGTCACATAAGTGGCGCAACTGATATAGATATATAGAGATTTCGATTTGCCAGTCTTCAGCATATTTTACCGGTCAAAGTCCGGTAATTACCGGCTAACGGAAACTTAAAGCAGTCTTGTTATATACTTTCACTTCTTAAATCACATTTTTTTAGCTCTTTGACTTATGTTTGTGTGTGTGCTCTGTTGACCTGAGCTGTTTCTTTTCTCTCAGTTAGAGAAGGAGGAGCAGGTGCACAGCATTGATATTGGAAATGAAGGCTCTGCTTTCATCGAGGTGCTGGTGGGGAATTCTTCAGCTGTCAGAGATCAGGACTATGAGGTATTCTTAAAACCAAACATCACTACAAAGTATTTATCCTCCTAATTATGGTAATAACTCAATTTATTTCTAATCCTTTTATGTCAATCCTTTTCTCCCTTTAGGTTCTCTTGGTTACGTCTTCCTTCATGTCGCCCACGGAGAGTCGTAACGGCACCAACATGAACCGAGTGCGTTTCTTTGGGCCTCAGCAGCTGCAGAAGAGCGCGACTCAGGAGAAGTGGGACAGAGTGAAAATTGTGTGCAGCCAGCCATACAGCAAGGTAGAGGTTCAATCGTTTAAATGGATTAAAAAAACAGAGTGCAAATAATATATCCATCTCACTCTTAAAGGTGGGGTAGGTAAGTTTGAGAAACCGGCTCGAGATACACTTTTTGTTATCTTCCATGGAATGCTCTTAACATCCCGATAGCAATGAATATCTGAAGTGCTTTGACAAAAAATCCATAAAAAAAAGTCATCTGTGGAAGCCGTGATACTGTAAAAAGTACAACCAATCCGTTTGGATTGCCGCCCTGTCTGTCAGCCTTCCATCTCGTGCACACACAAATGTATCTCGTGCCCTCATTGGGCGTGCCCTCATTGGGCGTGCATTGCAGCAGTACTTCAATGACTCGCCAGCAACAGGCGGCCACTTTCACCAGTCTGCTGACGTCATGTGCGCGTTCATGTGTGTTGGAGGAGGTGCTCTGTAAGGAAGTCTGAAGGAAGGGGCGGATTCTTTTCGGCTGTGTACTTTCAAATGTTAGTGCACTCGAGCCGGTTTCTGAAACTTACCTACCCCAACAGAATCCAAAAGTAAAACAATTGTGATTTGGACTATTTTCACACTAGTTTTACCATAGAGCCACATCATTAGACATCAGTCGACATTATTGCTTCAGATACAGAAAAAAATCGATCTGCTGGACTGTTGTGTTTAATAGTCCAGTTATGATCCAGTAGTCCAGTGTACACTAATAAGCATATATCCATTGGTTTTTGTGAAATGAACACTAATACTGCCATACTGCCTAGTTGTTGTCGTGTGCTGTGCTGAAGCGCAATTATCCTTGTACATTACTGCTTTATATACAGTACTGTATTTATTATTATCTGTGTATTTATTCTTATTTATACATTTCCCATCTATTTACCTTTATTTTTGTATAATTTATTTTGTACATACTTCTGATAATTGTGTATATAACTGACTGTTTTGCACTCTGGTTAGACCCTCCTTAATTTCGTTACACTGTGCTTGCATTTTGTAATGACAATAAAGTAATCTAATCTAAGATGGTTTTGTATCTGTTTTTCTAGAACATAGCATACGGACTGGCCTTTGTGAAGTTTCATTCACCGCCTGACAAAAATGATCCTCTTCCAACAACCTCCCCGGTAAGTCTCGACAGGTCCCTAAACTCCAACGGGCCTGAAGATCTTCTGTATTTCTGGTTATTTTCACTGAATATAGTTTATATTGGTTTTTGCTGATATGATGACCCACTGCTCACACTAAAACCATACTTTTAGATACCTGATTTTGAAAATAAAAATGATTTTATCCCTCTTCAAAAGCATCTCTGATGTTAAAGGTGGTCCGAACACAAGATCTCAAGCAAGTGTTGCCTAAATGAAATAGTCAACAATTCTCAAAATAGTTTCTCCATCAAAATTCTGTCTGATCCTAAAAAAGATTTACGCACATCTTCTGAGCAGATATCTGATGTAACTTTCCACATTTTGGACTTTTGATACTAAATTCTTTCACTATGTGACACATTTGAGGTAATCCCTCAAAAATATTGAGATTAAATACCCTGTCCTATTTTTAATAAGGTTTAAATAAAGGTCCAAAACAAACCAGTTTGAGAATCCAGACACACCAAAGAAAGTAAACAACTAAACATTCATATTAGTGACTGTACATAAAGTTCAGTAATTAGGAAGATGGTCTTTGTGATTATGCATCTCGCCAGAGTGTGTGTGTGTGTAGCACCTAAATCTATTCTAAGAACTCATCAACTTAAAGATGACTAAACCAGTGTCTGTCCGAGTTTTGGCTTGCCTCTGTTGTTTCTGCTCTCAGCTTTCTCGAGAACTGCTGATCCAAAACCTTTTAAACCCGACACAGTGCTTCCTTGGGTCCTGAGCAATACATCTGCCATGACACAGCAATGCTTGAGTTAATGTGACATTTGGGTTCAAAAGCTCACACATTTTATGGCTTCAATAAGGTCAAAGCCCCATTCAATCAATGTATATAACAAGCCCAAGATTTGACGTACATATTGTCCAAGAATATGTCCTGTAGACCTTTATTCCTTCTTTATCTGTTTTTTAATATACTGTAGCAAGCAACTGAGAGTGAGCTGTAACCAGCATACACCTGCCAAGTTTCCCTCCATTTTGTTAGATTTCATATTGTAAACATATTGCTATATCTTAAAACAAAAAAAGGACTCCAGCCCCTCTCTCCACCTTTTCCTTTTGCACTAAGCGTGTCTTTCTTCTCTCCTTTCAGAAACTGACGAAGCTGGGACAGTTCAGGGTGAAGGAGGAGCCTCCGTCCTCCGCTCCCAGCCTTCAGCCTGGCAGTCTCTTCTTCAATCGGGACCATGCAACAAAGTCCACTACCTCACCGAAAGGTAAATCCATTCATTTGAATTCACCAGCTCCTGAAGCGCAATTACACGATTTCATTTCCTTGTTACAAAAGGGCTTATCACCTCAAATAATGAAAAACATGGCAAGTGTGAACTAATTAGGTTTTGATGTAAAGCTCTAAAGGAGACAAAAGGTAGGCGTTCTTTATTATCAAGCTACTTTGTTCCTCAGCAGCCCTCTGCTCTGTTCTCCCCTCAGTGTCTCCTCCGAGTGAGAGGTTGAGTTACGCTGCTGCTGCGCTGCAGGCTGGCGGCTCCCACTCCTCAGGTGGCGGCCCCCCCTCCTCAGGCCCGCTTCCCTCCTCCAGCTCGGCCTCACCGCAGGTACTAAACATCACGTCGTGTCTCCACTTAACGACAGGCAGCTTAATTTAGAAAACAGTACATCGTAAGCAGAGAAAATAAGAGGCAACTAGAAAATGCATTTCCTGCAGAAAATGCGTGCGAATGCTGTAAATTGTTAACATTTGTTGCTGAATTTAGCTGAATATGTTATTAGCTGAATGGTAGCTGCCTTTAGCTACAGAGACCAAGTAAGTGTTTTGCTGAACTTAGCGTAGAAATGCAGAAAAGTGAAATGATTTGAATCAAATTGTTACAGCTCAAATGCATTGCAATGACTTTGTTGAAAACTTGAAAGTGAAATGTTAAACTGGAAGAGTATGAAAAAAAAGCTTAATATTTAAAAGAAAAGGTTTAAAAAAGGTATCAACAACATGTATCGGCTTTATGTCCTGAAATAGCTGAATAATGTAATAGTTGAATGGTTTCTGCAGCAGAAAGTAGGCTGAAGGAGTTACATATCAGATGTAAGTAGTAGTGAGTGAATGTGTATTAAGAAGAGAAAAGAAAGTAACAAGGCTTGGGAAAGCAGCAGAATATTTTAACTGCAAACTTTTGAACTAAAACCATACGTCACCAATAATGTATAAAATATGTGGAACATGTTGAAGTCAGTATGAAGTCAGACAGAAAAGATTAGGCTGAGACAGTCTGTTTGTCAGTGTTTGTTTCTGTGCTGAGCACCTAATCATAACACCTGTGTGTGAGCCCAGAGATCTAAGGTGTCCATGGTGACGATGTTATCAAACACCTGTGTGCAGAGATCAAAGGTTTCCATGGTGATGTGCAGTGATCTGTGAGAGGAGAGCCTTTCCATTGATCTGAATGAGAGATAAACCTCTTACATTTGAACTTTTTGTTGAAGAACCGTAGCAGCTTTCGGTAAAATGTCAACGCGTGAAGCATGTCAGGACCGTGGGGAGCGTCAGTCTGCTTTTTGTGCACTTTCGGGTCAATAATGTGGCATTTTTGGCCAGTGGCGAGCCGTGACGTTTATACCTAGGAAAGATAAGGTCTGACACTGAACAGTTGTTTTACCCAAAACTGTGAAATGGTACTAGTAAAGTAAAGTATGTGTTCAAGGGTTTTTAAAAGGGTTGTTAACATCTACTTGATCACATATTTTCATTAATATTATTGTGCATCTATCTCCAAACTTCACCAGGAACCAAAATTCCTTGGACTTGTATAAACAAACTAATACATTTCAGACAAAAAAAAAAAAATTACTTTTGTTAATTCTATTTTTGTTTTATCAAATGTTTTAAAGGCAGTACTTTTTAGGAAAGACTTGAAATAGGGAGACAGGAGAGGGAATGACACGGGACAAATCCGCTTGGTAACCAGTCCCAGTGCACTTTACCAACTGAGCTTTAGGGCGTCCTATGCTGTTAAATTATACAGGCAGTGCCTCACATTTCTTATGGAAGCTCTGCTCATTATGTTCTGTTCTTGTTGCTGAAATCCAATTTATTGAATGAATCTGGTACGTGAGCAGCAGCTTAAATTGCAGCTTTCATCAGCTTTAAAACGTAGGGCTTGAAATATTGCCTTAGTCTGATAAAAATCCATCAGTAAAACTCTGTATGAGCTCGCTCTGAGAGGAAAATCACTTCTGGGGATTGTCAATATCCGCTACAAGTCATTTGGAAGAAATACACATCTAGAACTGCACAAATACATATTCATGTCTATGCATCAGGAAGTAATCTCAAAAGTACTTGTTGTTTTGTTTCCAAGGTGTCAGTTTTAGAGCATGAAATGTGTACACAGTTTTCAGATGTGTGCTCTAGTCCACTCGTCATCCAACATTATCTCTTTCAAGGCACGTCTCGTAAACATTCATGTAAAGCTTATTTTTGCAATCTGGAAAGTATCCATATATCCAATAGTTCTAATATCCATTTGTTTCCACATAGCCACCTGCAAAGAGAACATTTGAGTTCAGCAAAGAGCAAAAGTCTTCCTCCGGCCCTCCCCCCTCGAAGAAATCCAGCCCAGCTGTCTCACCTGAGGGGAAAGCTGCGGCCCCCAAACCCAAGCCGAGCCCCGCCGGCACGCCCAGCTCCAGCACTCCGAAAGGTAACTCTAACCGCGACTGAATCTTGAATATAGATTATTTCTTCACCTGGGATGCTTCTTTGACTCCTGCAATTCTTCTCTCCAGCGTCGCCGGCACAGAAGTCTGCTGAGAAGAATCGAGAGAGCCACTCTAAACCCGACCCTAAACCCAAACAACCGAAAGCCAGCGTGCAGCAGGTCCCTTTCAAACGCATCCTGGAGGGGGTCGTGTTTGTCCTCAGCGGCTTCCAAAACCCCATAAGAGGGGATTTGAGGGAAAAGGCTGTGGACATGGGAGCCAAATACAGACCTGATTGGACCCCCGACGCCACACACCTCATGTAAGTATCCAGCAGAGAGGAAGTGTGTAGAAGACACTGAACGCCTCAGCTGTCCTTAATTTACTTTTAATAGTATGGCAAGGCAGGTTTGTTTATATAGCCCCTTTCAACACAAGGCAATTCAAAGTGCTTTACAACAATGAAAGACATTGAGAAACATGTTTTAAAATGGCATTTAAAAACAATCATTTAAAAGCTAGGATATGAATTAGAATTAAAAAAAAAAAAAAAAAAAAACTAATTTCAAAGCAAAGATAATAAGGTAGATTAAACACCAAATTGACAAACAGTTCACTGTGCTTATATCCACTGTGTTGTTGACTGTCTTTAGAAACACATCAACTAAATCAGATTTTCTCATCTCATCCTGAAGTAATTACTGCAGGGGACACAATAAACTCAGTCCTCTGGTGGCAAGGACAGCTCAGAAATACGTCCATAAAAACAAAGGGAAGTTTTAACAGAGCTACGAACCAGCCAAAAGATGCAATATATAACATGGTGCAGGATGTCGATCACACATTGCATAGCTGTTTAAAATGTACATTTGGCAATATGGCTGATCTGTATTGATGTGTCAGTTGAGTGTTATGGAAATCTAAAAACCCCAATACTGTAGAGTACAAGTCAGAGTGATCAAATCAAATAAATGGTGAATCAGACAGAGTTGTCTTTCTGGTATTTATTTGAAGCTTCAAATATATACATTACAATACAATAAATATAGACACAGGTCCCACAGAGTATAGAATAATCTGCGCGAGTGTGCGCAGTTCAATATGGCAGCAAAGCTTATATAGCAGAAATGATGAGAAGGTAAGAAATCTGTCTTCACACGGTCACATTGTTATTAGACACCTGGCCTTGAGCTGTAGAAGTTCTCGTGTGACTTTGTGTGAGTCTCAACCCAGTAGCCAAAACAGCTCTGTGGCCTTGAAGTAGAGTAGATAGAGGAAAACAGCACATCTAACCACATGAGAAGAATTTGGTTTAAACATATCAGGATAGAGTGGACATTTCCACTACAAGAGACAAAGTAAATATTTTATATTCGTAATTTAAGAGATAAGATGGAGCTTTATTAATCCCCGTGGATCAAACAGCAACAGGGTAAGGATGAAAAACAGGACCGCACAGATTAATACAATCAAAGATAAAAATACAAATGATGGAAAAACTATGAACCCAAAATATTGAGATATAAACTATGAAGTAAGAAATGAATTAAAATGAATGATAATTGATATGAAGGGCAAACCCCTTTTTAATGAATAATTGTTCCACAGATGTTCTTTCATGAGAGTTTTTATGATCTGTAGTTGAGTTTTATTATGAAAAACAGACTTCTGGAAGGTGTAATGGCCCTGTTAGCCCCCTGTTCAGTTTGGTTTCATCCGGATCTCTGAGGGCAGCCTTTTCAACGTCTCTCAGGTGATGTAACCGTGTGTGTGTGTGTCCTTTAATCTCCAGCTGTGCCTTCTCCAACACCCCCAAGTACAGCCAGGTGAAATCAGCAGGGGGCATCATCGTGCGGAAGGAATGGGTTTTGGACTGCCATAAGAAAAAACAGAAGATCACCTATAAACAGTAAGAGAGCGAAACCCAAAGAATGATCTTACAGTAAAACTGTTTTGATGATTGCATGTGGAGGAAGTCACAAGAGCAGCTGCTCAGGACTCATCCACAACATGTGTCCAACGTATGAATCCTCTTCTGATGAATACTTTCTCTTCAGCCACATCTGTACCCTCTGCATCCCACAATCTGCACACGGCACTCACACTGATTGAAGCTTCCAAAAATACACCTCTCACAGCGGTGATGGCTGCCTGCTGCAGAGAACATTGTAACCTTGAGCAGCTGATGCCTGCTGTGATCACAAATTCAACACAGCCAGCTCCAGCAGCTCTCTAATTATATGATAGGATTATATGCCTCATTACAGGAGGTTCCTCTGCTACCTTTCTGTCATCGCCCCCCTTTAATCTTTACTGAATAATGTGGAGCAGAACTCTCGTCTTGGTCCAAATTAATTAGAATCGTTCTGTGCTCGTGGCGCACTGTATGAAGCTTTGCTTTATTGTTTAGGGGATTCCTTCATAGTAGTTGCTTCTGTAATAATGATGATGATAATGAGGCTGGATGGTTATCACAGGTTATGAACTTGCTGGTCTCAGGCTGCTGTTATGCTAATATAAGGTTAGCAGAACTAGTGTTGTGGTAGAAACGGTATAAGCTGTCAAATAATTAGCTCTTAAAAATATATAGTCTTACTTTCAGCAATTTATATTGTCGTTATCGCAATTTGAAATGTAGAATCAGTCAAATGTGAGGGGAGTTGACACATTTGACTGCATACCAAGGTGAGACGCATTACTGTGTTCTCAGGGGGCACTGAGTAGTGCTGCTTACATTAGAAAACAATTTTTTTAAAAAGCCATCACTTTTTCCTAGAGGTAACATCATTACCTTAATTTATCCGGAACAATCCAAAATACAGACAAATAAAATGTTTTATAAGGTTAGAGGAATAAAATGAATGTTTGGACTCTTTACAACGTGGAACCACAACATTTTTGCCTGCTTTTTAAATAAATAACGTTAAGATGGCTTTTTCCTTTTGACAATAATGAGGTCCTTCCAGCCATTGAGTCCATTTGTGATAAGTGTAACGCTCTGTGTAACGCAGGGTTTAACAGTGTGTTTATGGGCCAGCATGACAATGCAGAATATCTCCAAAGTCAAGGACGGACATGAAGGTTGACTGCTCAAAGGTTTTATGGTAGGAAGAGACAGACATCCTTTAATTCAATAGAGAAATCCTGGTTAGATTTTCAATTTTTGGCTCATATGTTGGCTATGAATCTTGGATGTCAGTCTGGCTTCAAGCAAACATTTCTAAGTATTTGTATGACTCAGCAAAGTTCAGTTCAATGGAGGACAAGGTAGTGACAGAAAATACCATGATCTCTTCTTCATTATCACTGAGTTACAATGTTAGTGATCATGTAATAATGATGACAGGTAAGCAGGCGATGATGAATTCTAAGAGTATTGAAGTCAGTGTGTTCTGTTTACTTAGACACTGCTATTCAGAAAATCGTTTTACAGCATAAACTGAATGACCTTGTCTCGTTGCATAACCTGCTCATTTTCGGAATGTGGTGCGAGTATCTGGAAGGGGCCTAACGTTGTTGCTGGTAATCTCACAAATATATATTTTCATTTTGCAGCATGACACATTGAATTTCTCGCACAAAGCAAATCAATGAGTAATTGAAAGATGAATCGATAACGAAAATAATTGTCAGGTTGCAGTCATTACCGGAACCATCTCTCTCTGTTATTAGTGTGCCTCTTTCGTTGTAATTAGCCTGATATTAGTTTTGATGTGAATGTTATTTCATTTGAGTTATTATCCGGCTCCAGCAGGATTAATGTGAGGATGAGACCGGGTGCACGGCAATTCATTTTGACTTATGCTCATCTTCTAGGCTCCAAATGAAAGCGCTTTTGATGAGATGACTGTGAACAGCAGTAAATATATATTTGTATATACTGCTCAAGGGCGATGGCATACAAGGCTGTGGTTTTATGAAATCTGATCATTCATTTAAGATTTTCTAAAAGTGCATAGAAGAGAGAAGTTCAGTGCAGCCTGTGTTGTCATTCTGCCTTGCCTGTCATTCTGTCAAATATCTCTCACCCTTGCCCCCCCCCCCCCCCTGCTCTGCTATTGTGCAGCATGCAGCTTTGATGATGTGTCCTTTATTTAAAAGCTGCATCTGCTATGGGTAATTAAAGGGACCACTTACTTTGATGATCACAAGTGCCCAAACAAATATGCACCCTCTCAAACTGTCGCTCCATCATGCACACGCTTCTCTCTGAGCATCGGGAGAGGGGGGGGGGGGGGGGAGCACGTCCGCTGCTTGAGCTCCTGCCATGCTTACGTCATGTGAAGTGTAGTGTATGTTTAAAAGAGACTAAGTGCCCCAGTGACCAGTGACGGTCCAGAGATGGACAGAAAGAGAGGAGAGCCCTCGAGGCATGGAGCATCTCATCACAACGGAGGGTTTGTGGAAGACTGAGATGAATACATTTGGTGATATTCCACCGTTGTAATTATAACCATATTTATGTACCCTATTTGGAAAAGCTAGAGCACCCTAGAACTTGCTAAAGAACTGCAATTACCAAGCATTTATTGGGAGCCTTATTTGTTTTTCTTTTATCTGCTTACACTGAAAGACAGGAACAGCCTGAAGAACATTGTTAAAAACCTGCTCTAAGGTCATCGGAGTGAAACGGAGGGATTTAAACTGCTTTTGTAAACGGCAGATTCTGCGCAAAGCAGAGAGCATACTGGCCTCTCCAGGTCATGTTCTTGCAGACGAATTTCATGTGTTGCTATCAGGGCGTAGATATGCTCTACCTGCTCTTAAGACAAATCTCTTTTCAAAATCATTCATCCCTTCTGCACTCAAACTTTAAAATTCTTGATAGGGTTTTTAACTTGATTATTTATTTATTGTGATGCTATGAAACTACTTATCGTGTACATTGGAAGGGCTCCCGGTGTATCTGTGTGCTTTCTTCCTGTATGTTCCTGCCTGTGTACATGACATAAGCTGCTCACAACCAATTGCCCCTTGTGGGATTAAAAATTAAAAGTTGTTGATTGATTGAATAGAAGAAACTAAGACCATTGATGTTCTCCACATCCATTTTTATATCAATTATAATATAAGGGACAACAATTGCAATTTGTTTAGCATCGTTGAGGGCTGAAGTGGGGGCACCTCGTTACTTGTTTCTAAAATTGTGGAGGAAAATGTTTTTTTTTTTACTCCACCCCCGCTCTCTTAACCTTTGCAGTGGTCATTACAGATATACTCCCTCTTTTGGGTTTTTGTTCTGCTAATGGTTAACATTAAAGGTCCCATGTCATGGCCATTTCTACTGATCATAATTCCATTGTTGAGGTCTACTAGAATAGATTTAAATTGTGCAATTTTCCAAAATCACATTGGTTTCTCATACAGCATCTCTGTGAAGTATGTGTATTCACTCTCTGTCCTGCACACCTTGTTGGAGCTCCTGTCCCCCCCTCCCTATGAGCCCAGTGGCCGTCTGCGAGACACAGCGAAACCCAGCCCGAACACACACACAGACTCACAGCCTCGCCGCGTCCCACCGTCTCGGAGGAAAAATCGGCGGAGCTGCAGCTGAGAAAAGATTGAGTGTGTGTGTGTGATGTAACGGCTCCGCGGATGTAACGTAACGGCTCCAGGGATTGGTCTATTTGGACCAATGGGTCCATTTGGGTATGGGCACCTCACTGTAACCAGGAAGAAAACAATAGGAAAAGAGAAATCTCCAACGAGGCGTTCTGGGGCAGCATAGACAGGTATTTTCTGTGTTAGAGTTGTACTCGCTACAGGGTGTACTTTGAGGGTTTGTGACTCTGCAGACCGTTAACATGCAGAAAAAGCTTCATAACACACAAGGGGACGGGTAATAACCAGAAAAGCATGACATGGGACCTTTAAGGTTAGATTGGATGTAGACTGTGTATTTCCATGTAAAGGAGGAGGGATTTATACTTGCTTACTCAAGCTAAAATAGACACGAAGAGTACTGGGACAAATCCTGGGTTGAAAGGTTTTGTACTCTTTTCCCCTCTACTGCAGTAGCTCAGACTTTTCTCCCAGCAGACACTCTTCAAAGCTTTTGGCATCGGTAATGTTTAAAACATCAGGATATTAAACGTCTGGTGAAAAGTATTACCTGGGTTCTGATCCTTTGTTCTACTATTGCCCGACAATGGCCCACTGCCATTTGAAACATAGCAAAGCTGATTGATAGCAGGATATATCGTGCCAACGTTCTTTTCCCTCTGGCCTTTAATCATCCTGACACATTTCCTTCACCCGTTCTTTGTCTTTCTCCAGGTATCTGATGGATGGAGCAGAGTCAAGCTCAGAGAGCGAAATGGAAGTGGATGAACAGAGTGAAGAGGAAGTGAGCACAAAGGTACATTTTGGATTTTTAGTAGGCTAATTATCTAATCACTCAAATCCAGCACAAGACACTTTTTGTTACGCTGCTATGGACAATCTGCAATAAATGCACATTTTATGGACAATCTTGCACCAAAGATATTGATATTGAAGTGACTGTTATTTTATATATATTGATTGCTGTGTTTTTTTTTTTTATCTTAATGTGTGCATATGTGTAAATGTGTCTGACTATGTATATAGAATATACATATTTTATACATATCTGTATACTGTATAATTTTACTTTCGGGATTGTTGGAAACGTCATTTCGATCTCTCCGTAAACACAAACTGAGGGTGTTTCTCAATGTCGAGTAAAGCTGCTCCAAAGCCACTATTTCAAGCATACTACGTCATCGAGTGGCGCCGAAGGACTGTTTAAATGCCCAGCATACATGTGCTACTAAGCAAGCCTCCTCGACATTGAGAAACGGCCCGTGTAAGATTGACATTAAAGTTGACTTTGATCTAATCAATAATACTTTTTCTAGTTTCTAACGGACAGTTTTAAAACTTTGTCCATTTTGTCCTTGCAGACTCCACCAAAGCAGCAGAGACAAGTGACCCCGAAAAAGACGCCAGAGAAGAAGAAAGACGAGGATGAGTATGCTGGCTCAACCGATGTGGATGAACCAGGTTTGAGGCAAAACTACTTTATAAAGTCACACTGTGAAATCATTTCACTGAACTTTACCCAGTCATTCGTTTAAGATTCAGTCATCATAGCCACTCCACTCATTTCTATACGTCCTTCAGAAACTCTTTGGATAAGAAGAAAGGCATTGTTCCATTGTTCTGGAAAGTGCATAATAGAGGAGAGCTTTAGAAAGACTCATATTGTTTGTCAATTGACTTTAATTGAAGTTAATCTGAAACAGGCAGACAAACAGGGTGTATTGATGGGGGAAGAAGTGTGCTGTCAGTCAGTTGAAAAGATAAATAGAGGAAATAAAAGAATGAAAGCCAAGCTCAAGAGGCACTTTGAATACATTGAGAGAAAAGGAACAAACTAAAAAAAAACATAATTAGGAAAAACCAGCATTTCAGCATGTCGTGAAGGCCGTCTTATTTACTTTGGTGCGTCTTTGAACTCAGTTAAAAGTTATGTTGAACCAACCTTGAGGTAAAACTTTGGGTTGTGTACTATGTGCTCAGATTAAAGCCAGTAAAAAAAGAATAGCCAAAGGGAGAGTGTATAAAGTCTTGTCCTTAAATGACTTGGTAGGTGAGGAAAGAAAAGTGTCTGAGCATTAGTGGATTTCATTTCAAATTCAAACATAAATTAAATGTAGATTTCCTCTCCACCCAGAATAAAACAGTCCTGCCATACTCGACAAACTGTGATGAGTTTCTTTTATATCTGAACAGAGAATGTTCTTTTACTGATGATTGATTCTCACTAATAATTTGAAGGGATTTCTCTATGATTTTTGTGCAGAAATACAAATGATCACGTTTGGTGGAGTTGACTTTTCACAACATTCTTTTGGGTCCGGAGTTACAAGTACGCATCTCTACAAATATTTGAGTCCTTACATTTAAGGTTTAAGATGGTGTAGAAGAGGCCCTGTGCAATAAGGTTTAGTTTGAATTATAAACAAAAGCCACAGATTTGTGTAAAGCAATAGAACAATATGATGATGACAACTTACCATCTGTAGTTAATCAGGAAATAGACTTCTAAGTCTAAAAGTTCGCAATTGAATAGATTGTTTTTAAATTGTTCTTTTTGTTTGCATCTGGAAATTAAGGTTTGAATTGAGAACTTTCTGCTACCTTAAAACCTTTAAAATGTTAAAATGGTTCAAAAGATATATTTTTCAGACACAAGTCCTGTTTCTCGCTTGAGACCAGAAAAAGTCTCTGTGACCTTTTGACCTGTGCTGGACTATGGTGATCTGATCTATATGAATGCACCTGCCGACCTGATCAAGTTACAGTAGATGCCGCCTATCACAGTGCGCTGAGATTTGTTACCAACTGTAAAGTATTAACTCATCACTTACTGTACGGAGGCTCAGTCACTGGTACATGTTTATCTATAAAGCCATGTTGTGTAAACTACCAACTTATATATGCTCTTTGATCTCACAGAGAGTGGCAAGTAGCTATTGCCTGAGATCTCATGCTGTGGTTTTGTTACATGTGCCAAGTGCTAGGACTGATTTAAATCAAATCAAGGTTTATTGATAAAGCACATTTAAAAGCGATTTTTTTTGGGTCGAGCCAAAGTGCTGTACATGTAATAAAAACACATTACTACAATCACAATGAAAGACAATAAATAAAACAGATATATAAAAAACACAGGGAAAAGTCAGGAGTCGTGCTCCGCTCTGACTAGAAGGCCAGGGAGAAGAAGTGTGTCTTTAGAGTAGATTTAAAAACCCCTAGGGTCTGGGCCGACCTCACATGGAGGGGCAGAGTGTTCCAGAGCCTGGGGCCAGCTGCTGCGAAGGCTCGGTGCCCTCGGGTTTTGAGCCTGGTCTTGGGCACTACCAGCAGCAGCTGGTCAGCAGACCTTAAAGCTCTGGCTGGGGTGTAGCGATGGAGGAGTTTGGCTATATATGCCGGAGCCAGCCCATTCAGGGCTTTGAAAACAAATAAAAGGATTTAAAAATCAATTCGGACCAGAATTGGCCAGAATTGGGGTGATGTGGTCACGCTTTTTGTGGCCAGTCAGAAGACGTGCAGCTGCGTTTTGGACTAGCTGCAGGCGTCTAATTGAGGCCTGGTCCATACCCACGTATAGAGCGTTGCAGTAATCCAGTCTTGAGGTTACGAAGGCATTAATAACCCTTTAAAGATAAAAGATAAATACGACTTGGTTTTGGTCAATAGTCTTATTTATAAAAAAAAAAAAAGCAGGATTTAGGTACGAAAGCTTTTAGGTGCGCAGCTCCTCTAGCTTGGAACACTCTGCAAAAATAACTGAAACTGAGCATCTTGGTTCCCCTGCATCCTTTTTTAAGCACGGCTAGATGCAATGCAATATGATAATCTGGGTACCTGTCAATGTCGATAGGTTTGTAAATTGTACCCCTGTAATTATGTTGTATGATGTCCTTTTTGTTTTCTGTTGTTTTTCTGTTTTCATGTGTAACCAACTTTGCAGGTCTCCCTTGAAAAAGAGATCATTTGATCTCAATGGGATTTTACCTGGTTAAATAAAGGCTACACACACACACACACACACACACACACACACACACACACACACACACACACACACACAAGCAAATATGTATACAAACCGTAATGTAAGCACTGTCTTTATAGAACTTTTCTGTAGGCTATATTGTATATTATACATATTATTCTTTATTTATGTTATTGCATTCATTTCTTTATCGGCCATTTCCTTGTTAACGGAGTGAAAGGCAAAGGAAGTTGGTTTTTAACCATGCAAATTACAAAAAAAGCTTTGCCTTCATAGGAATAGTGATGACTCTGCAAGAAAGTCCTACTCCTAAAGCGTAGTGAATGAGACGGGTGTTTGTGGGCGGGCCACAGTCTAGGTTATTAATGTGAAACACTGATTTAACATCTACACTACCTCAGGGTCACCCACCGAAAAATAAACTCCAATGACACGCATAACACGTTTCCAAAAAATTGGAGGAAGCAACAAACAAAAAGCACAAGCTTGAAATTAAGTCATAAATTGCATTCTGTAAATGTATATATTGCGAAGCTCGAGAGCTACATATGAAGTGGCTTTTACTCATTGGCAGTGATTCATTCTAACCGGGGATGGAGAGATGTTTGATCTGGAGCTGAAGAGGAGTGAGTGAAGTGAGAGGGGCGAGGGGGCAATGTGAGGGGATTAGACAAAAGGCATCACCTTTATGAAGAACAACAGGATGATTCGACTAGGCCACCGTGAAAGGGACATGTAATACCTGTGAAGGGACTTGTGCATGATTCTCATTTCTATGGTAATGCCGTGGCAGAAGTAAAGTGTCGCTGTGCATCGATGAGGCAACACAGCAAACACACGCAAGGCGACAGCATTCAATTAGACCTGCTTTTGTTCCCCTCAACAGCACAGGATTGTATGGACAAGTGTTACCAAGGTTACATGATTGAACCTGCTGATATGTGTCTGTCATTGATGGGTGGATTCATATGGCATTTTATCTTTCTGCTATGCATATTGAAAATATACAGTAAGAGCATAGCATGTTGTAAAAAACATGAAAAATTACTAAAGATTTCATTTTTGGGCATTTGATTCTAATATTTAGTTTAGAGATCAAACTACAGTGATGGTAATTTAAGATACAAGGATTTATCGTCAACCAATGAACTGATATGATTACCTATACATATATTCGCTTATTACACACATTTGCTAAGTCTTTTCATGCAGTAAAATAAGCCTTGCATATTGACAGTTTTACCATATTGACACTACTTTTCACAGGAAGTGGAGATGAGGAGTCTGCCGTGGACACTGAGGACGAGCTGCAGAGGTAAACAAATCATGTGAACGATGCTGTGTGTAATGATGTGGGCGAGTTTGTTCTTCCATGTAATTAAATGTTGTCCACAGAATCTCATTGTTTTGCTTTGACAACCTACTGTGCTTGTTAAATAAGCATTGTTTTCTGCATCAACAAAAAAACTAGCTTGTGACCTAAGTGAACGTTTGTGTGAAATCAGTCAGATATTTTATTGGCATTTTGTATTATGCTTCTTAATTATGTCAGTGTTGTAACGGATTCCCAAGGGACCAAATAGATGTTGTTGTTTTCGGCTATTTCCTCCTTTCAAGATAATCTGTAAAAGAGGTTTGACAGAAACACTCACGACTTTAGAGCCACTAATTTCTGAGGGAGTGGTTGAAGGTTTTCTGGGAACCAGGAAATGAAAGATTATGTTGAGAAGAGAGATTGTTTGCTGTACTTCAGACAGGATTTGGCAAAAGCTTAATACAACAACTCTTAAACTACCATCTTATATGTGGTCTGTGTGGTGTGCGTTCATACTGATATATAGGATGAACTGAATTATCTCTTTTTAAAGATGGTTGTACGTAATCCACACTCTATATCGCGTATATACTCTAAAGCAGGGGTGTCCAAACTATGGCCCAGGGGCCAAATGCGGCCCGCGGACCTATTTCTATCGGCCCTCACTCAGCAAATAAAAAAAGTATAATGACTTAAGTATTATAAACTTCTGCTTGTCTTATATTGTACTTCTTAAATATATATGTTCAAATATATTACACAGTATCCATGTGTTAATAGGCCCAATTTTCAAATAAATTCAGTCAATTAAAGTTGAAAACATGTTCTATCAAATCTAAGTTGATAAGAAAAAAGCCCAATAACAAATGTACATAACAACCTTGAAATATACTCTTCATATTTCCTCTTATGATAATCAATCTGAAGCTTTTGTTTTAAGGAATGAGCTGCCAACACAATAAATGAAACTCTCTGGAGAGCTGTGAGCTGTTTTTTTCTTAACGCATTTTCAAGTATCAAGAATGATTTACCTACATTGGATTGATTTTTCCAACTTATAACTTAACTTTTGAGGCAAAATACCTCTAGTCAGCGGCCAGACCTTCTTATATTTTTCTGTATGATTGACACCTCTGCTCTAAAGGGACTAAGAGCAGTGTCAAAGAAGGAGCTTTACGTTTTTTTTGAAAATGATTCATAAGCTCTAAGAAAGTGAGATCTGTCACCCTGCCAGTGTGACTGCCATTAGCACAGGAGCACATTCCCCCCATGTTAGCTGCACTGCACTGGCTGTCCAGACATTTTAGGATTCATTTTAAAACCGTTTTATTTACTTTTAAATCCCTCAATGGCCTGGCCCCGCCCTACCTCTCTGAGCTGCTACACCCCTACACTCGCCTTCTCAGGTCAGCTGATCACCTGCTCCTTAATGTGCCGAAAACTAAGCTAAAGCTCAAAGGGGACCGTGCGTTTCCCTTTTTACGGCCCCTAAAACTGTGGAACGCTCTGCCCCTCCACGTTAGACAGGCTCCTACACTGTCAGCTTTTAAATCGCGTCTTAAAGCCCACCATCCTTAGCGTTCTGCGTTTTGTAGATTGTTGCTTTTATTGCTTTTTAAATGGTATATTGTTTTTACTATATGGCTGTTATTCGTATTCTTGTTTATTTGGTGTTCTTACCTTTATTTGTTTTTGTTTTGAGAGCTGTGCTGTGGGATCTTTTTGTATTTCTCTGAACAGCACTTTGGTCTGGAGGTTTTAAAGTGCTTTATAAATAAAGTTGAATTGGAAGAAGTGCTCTGACACTAAAACAAAGTCGAGAAGTGTCTTCCTTTGAGCTGCACACAGTAGCACAATTGATACAACAATATAAGGGGTCGTTTTCCTGTCCCTGTAATAGGGTGGAGCACGAGAGCAGAGAGAAGAAAGCTTCATCAGACATGAAGGTGAAGCAGGAGGATCCGTTCGGGGGGTCCACAGACGAAAACACAGACGCTGAGGCTGAAGAGGATCTCCCCATCCCTGAGCTCCCAGGTGAGGCTCTCTTTGTTCTTGTCTCCTGTCTCTGTCTGTTCCTATCAAAGAAACAAGATGTCCTCCATTACTCTTTGGACATTGCAAACCCTGACAGAAAGTAATTGGATGTCTTTCAGGAAACACCACACACAAACATCAACTGTTTTTCTCAGTTTTCTTCTGTGCTTTGCTCCTTTATCAAATAGCATCTGTAATTGCTCCACTTTCCCATTGTATAGTAGTAAGCCTTTATCTGCCCATTTTCCCATTTACCCCAGACTTCCTGAGAGGAAAGCACTTTTTCCTCTATGGTAAATTTCCCAACAACGAGAGGCGCCTTCTGCTGAGATACATTGTTGCCTTCAACGGGTGAGAAACACCATTTAAGAGCACAACACAAGTGCATCACTACTTTAATTGGTCATGGGAATTCACTGAGATGTTGTACGATCGTATAGAAACATAATATTGTCTTGGCTGCAGGCTGATCGAGGACTACATGACGGAGAAGGTGCAGTTTGTGGTGACCAGTGAAGGGTGGCACGACTCCTTTGAAGACGTGAGTTTCATTGTCGCTTCCCCCTAAAAACCATTAGATTTCAACATTTCTGTGCATATGGATTAGAGCATAAGGACATGAGTTTTTGAAGGTTACGTACACTGTGATCTACGGGCTTTATCTTTAGATTTGTTAACCCTTTTGTTCGCTGCTGAACACTTTGACAACATGGATATATCCTTCACATCATTTAGACTCTTCTATCTGTTTTTCTCGGCGGGGTTATCGAATGGTCAATTATACAGAGTGCACAGCTCCATTTAAAAAGTAGCAAAGGAAGACATGTCACAAAGGCAAACACACTTCTTTGGCATTTGCTTTTAAGCAGCTACTTCTCTTTTCACAGGGTATAAATAAAAGCATTGCAGCAAATTGGGAACCTTAGTATTTTAGCCTTGCAGTGAAAATGCAGCACTGTTGGGAAAGAGTATCTTTTAAATCTATTTACAGACTGCTATGAAAATGATGGGGGTTAAAAAACACCCATCTCTCCAAAACATATACGAGCAGTCCGTTATCAGACAGGCAAACACAATGGTGTCCGATCCCACCCACATACTCCACCCAGAATTCCAGCTCCTACCTTCTGGTAGAAGATTCAGGGTTCCCAAGAGCAGGCTGAACCGCTAAGCACTCATTCCTACCTATGTCCATTAAGCTTCTTAACATTCACATGTAATGAAATGTACTTTTTAAATATTGGCCATGAGGGTTAGTGCAATAGGTCGCCATTGTCAGTATGTGCGTCTGTGTATTGTGTTTGTTCAAACGGTGTATGACTGATGATATGTGTGTCTCTTAATGTCCACTATGTTTGTATATGTACATGTATGCGGAACTGCAGGACAGAGTCCAGAACAAATGTCCTTACGGGGACAATAAAGTATATCGTATCGTATTTGAGAGCCTTGAAAGCATCTGAACAAGCAGAGTTTCAGAGCTTTTTAAAGGGTCATACCGTTTTGTTATCTGCGCATTATAATGCAACACTTGATGACCTTTCTTTCCCCCCGCTTTCACTCTCAATTTCCTCACAGGCGCTGATGGAGAACGGCAATCTAAACTTTGTCAAACCCGCATGGATTTACGCAATCAATGAACGACAAAAGATTCTGCCCTATCAGCCCTACTCCGTTGTCCCCTGAACAATATCCTGTACGTACACACACAGATGAGCACACACACTTACACTCAGTTTCCTGAACAATGGAGCAAAGGTTTTTCTTTCTTCTGATTTGCAGCTTCCTGAGAGACAAGCAATAAACAAACTACAGTTCATTAATGCTTTTACACTTTCTCCTGGCCATCATGGAACGGGTTCAACCCTGATGTTCCTTGCTTTCTGCTAAGATGGGAGAAGAATATTTTAAAATGTGGTGTGTAATGTTAGGATAAGGTTTAGATTCATGGTTAGCTTTTTAGTTCAAGGTTGTTAGTTTTAGCTTGGCCAGAAGGGGAAATGTTCTTCATCAGTGTCGTGTCAGGCGCTCTTTGTGGACAAAGCACACACACTCTGAGTCCTCTGTTACTGTGATGCAGTGTGTTGCTGCTCACCTCAAGAACCTCAGACTCTCTGGAAATAAATGACCCGCTGTCCTCACTGCCAGCAGCACTGATAACACTCTGACTTGGGTAAGCGGGGAGACCATTATGAAACCAGCAGTGAAAGTCAGCTGAAGAAAAGTGCCATTTTTCTATTGCTGCAGCTACCAAATGCAGAAATCAGGAAACAGTATTCTACAACAATAAATAAATACTGGAGTTTGTTTTTCTCCTTTTATTTTATTAAAAGCCATGATTTGGAAAGTGATGGATTTCTCTGTGTCAATGCTTGATAATGCTTGAGTTTGTGATTTGTTTTTTGAGTCATGTTCGTGGAATGAATATTAGAAGAAATTGACAGATGTGAGGATGTAAAAGAGTTGTCGAGGTTACCGTCTGCTTTTCCGAAGCAATTTAAGTCTCTTTAACTTGTTTTTGTTCTTATGCTACTTAATTATTTAGTCAAAATAAAAAAATGGTTTTCTAATGAAAGGTATTTCTCTCATAATTATTCATCTAACTGTCTTTGCACTTAGCTGCTCTCGTCCCTTCCTGTTCCTCCCTCTCTGTGGCTGCAGCTCGAGAGGCACTCTCTGCTTCTCTCTTGAGACGCTTTCTCCTATCTCTTCAATTTACTTCTCGTCCTGTTTGTGCCCCGGAGCCACCGGGTCTTCTGCTCTTCAGTCAAGGGCATTAGAAAGCTGGAAAGTAGACGTGAGATGGGGAGAAGGGGAGGGCTGCGAGGAGAGAGGCTGCAGGAAAGATGGAAAGGTTTGGATGCCTTTTTAGAGTAGCCAAGGATCAGACTGTTTTATTTTTCTTCTTGATAATTCACATTAGAAGAAATGTGGGCTGCCTTGCACCTGGTGCTTCCCATTAAGAGATAGAGTGCAAGGTCCAATCCATTTAGGACCTGAAGCAAGAGAATTTACAGCAGCTTACGGCATCATCCTGATACAATGTCATATTTCATTTAAATACAGTTTGGTTGTAAAGATGGCAGAGAGGGTGGGCTGCTTTCAAATTGTCCCATCTTATTCTTGTCACCTTGATCACTTCCTGTCAGATTTATTCCTTGCTCATTGCATTTTTATGTCTCCTGTGAAATTCAGCAATGACCTTGGATGACTGCTAAAATAGCCGAACATTGTTTGACTTTGTAAATGTAATCCTCATTATCACCGGCACCCTGTGTAAGTCAATTGTAATGTCAATGGGGGGGGGGGGGTATTTTTCAAAGAAGTCCTTCATATCTTCACTTAAGCTGTCAAAGGTATTTTTCTTTGTGAATAAACTCCACATTAAATCTACTTTGATTGAATGTTTTAAGACAATGAAATGGGAACACTTCTAAAAGGAACTGCTAGGGCTATGTTTCTCAGCTTTTATCTGATATCTTTCAGCCCAAAGTAAGCCAACACAAGATGTTCTCTTTACTCACCCAACATTGTCATGATACTGTATAACAGCAATGTTTATTGAATGGTTATTCACACTGGATTTCAATGTAGTTAAGTATTAATGAATAGACTGACTAGATCAAGTTAAAGGTTACAATGTGTCCCTGCAGAGTACAGATGCTTCTGCAAATTCAAATGAAGCAGACCCAATAGCACCAAGTTGCCCTATTATGCTCATTTTCAGGTTTCATAACTTTATGTAGTGCCTCTATTGTGAAATGTTTCCATGCTTTAATCTTCAAAATGGTCTTGATTTGTTGTGCTGCAGCACCTCTTTCTGTCTGAAACCAGAGCCCAGTCTGCTCTGATTGGTTAGCTAGCCGGCTCTGTTGTGATTGGTCAACCGTAAGAGATGTCCCGCCCCTTAGCTAATCACATACAATTTGTTGCAGCGCTAGCCAATAGAATAGTGAGTGTTACGCAGTGATGTCACTATGTTGAAGAAGTTAACAAAGGATAGGGATTGAGGCATAATACCGGGGGGTTGAGGGACTTTGGGATTTGTAGCGCTTGCAGACCATTCAAATGCACAAAAACCTATATAGCACGAAAGGGAAAACCCCCAAAAGCATATTAGGACCCCTTTAACTCTACCACTAAAAAACCATTGTACAAAACCATGCAGTCCCCATGGAAATCAAAATGGTAGTACACAAACCAAACTATTTATATTACAAATATAAAAAAGGTAATGGGATGTATTATGAAGAAAGACATTTCAGTTTAGTACAAAACATATTTTATTAATTGATGCATTATGTACATACCACTGTAAATCTGCAGCTGGTGACGGGGGTCAATTACATACTGCTGGGTAGTTTCATCTGTAATATCCCATCACTTATGTGTTGCACTTATAATGTGTTTACTCAATCAAAGTTCTAAGAAGTTGTCTTAATCAGTAAATATTGTTTATGTAGTCGTGCTGACCTTCCCAGATCATTCTCAGCAAAAGCTTATTTGGCCAATGCTTTGCTCTCATGTTGAATATCTTTTCTTTTTTCTTTTCTAAATCAGTTTCTTATTTTTCTTTCTGCTTTTCCCTTTGGCCCCAGCTATCAGTAATGGTTAGCATCGCCAGCTTGCAGGACTATGCCACTGAGATTTCTTTATTATTTATTGCAAGTACTGACAGCTTTGACAATCTTATTGCCTGGTGTCTTGAAATCAGATTTGCCACATGACTCATTTACTTCTGTTCAAGTCCATAGTAGGCTATAACATCTCTGGAGCCTATCTTTTTATTTTAGATGTTGCTATTACAGGAATTACCATCACAGTAAATGAAAAAACTTATAACACATTTCAGAAAATTGCATCAGAGCCTTAATATCAGGCAAGGGTTCTACAAAGCTACTGATATTCTGCTTTTGCTTTCTATGAAAGTGAACTTGCTAAAGAAATGTAATCAAACTATTAAAACTGCATTAAATACATTGTGTGTGTAAATGAGGAGAAGTTACGTTTTATTTATTTTCAGGGAAATCACCCCATCATACCCTAATGGCAATAGTCACGTTTTTAGCTTAAGCCTACTATGAAATAAATGGAAGTAATCTGTTTCCACTTTAACTTCAGTTAGAGGTAGAGGTTTTTTTAGCCTATAGGCTATTGTTAGATGTGTCGTGTTTTTCCCTGGAAAATGTTAATATTATTCCTGTTTCTTTTTTCTCTATTTAAATGTTTTGAGTAGCAGATTAATATTAATTGATACCTGTTATTGGAAAGTGTGGGTTTTTGCATTTTGGTAGAGATTTGACTAGAGGAGTCTATTATTGATCTTACTCTCCCCGATGTAAATATGTCGAACCGTTAACTTTGTGCATAGCCTATGTCCCATACGTGAAATATAACTGGCTCCATCACAGCCAATAGCGTAGCAGTATTTCTTCTTCGACGATTATTTCTTCTTCTCCAAGTATAAACAACAGAAACTGCGCGAAACCAACCTCCTTTAATGTTCTCCAACTATCTCCATCCTCCTCCTCGTGCGAGCCTCTCGCGCTGGACACCGCGAGTAGGGAAACCGACTGACAGCGGGGACTTAACGAGTGCGTATGTGTGTGTGCCCAAGTGTGTGTGGACCGTTCACAGACGTCCTGCCTGAGATCAAGGTGGGAGATTCGGCAGTAAATTGCGAGATGGGAGGCAGCAGCCTGACAGACACCGGTGTTGTTCCTGAGAGGACCTGGATGTGAGCAGCTCTGCCGGGAAAGGGTAAGTGTTTCAAACGGTTAAAAAAATAGAGGTTGAAAATGCAGAGTGTAATTGCTATGTGGGACTTCTGTTTAGTCTATTTAGAGATAAACTCGTAGTAGGTAATGTTCAGTCAGTAAGGGGACTTGTTGCTATAACTTTCACACCTTTTAATGAGGGGGTTTGTTGTGCTTTTGGAAGAATTGAGAAGTTTCTGTTAGTACAAAACAAAACATGGCAGTGTTAATGACCGTGTGTTTGAAATTAGTTATTTGTGAAATGGAAAATACATTTTACGATTTAAAACTACAATAATTTCGAAATATGGCCACTCAAAAACAGGTCTTAGGCCATAGGAAAAACACAGAAGCAGATGATTTCAGATGACAATATATGATTTATAGTTAACTAAACATGTCAATGACAAATAATAGACCTAGATCTAAAATGTACAACTAGTGTATAACAGATGTCACTAACATATTGTTGGTGTATGGCTCAAACCAACAATAGCTGATAACATAATTCCTATACAATAAAACCATGGATAAAAACAACATTAACCTATATTCTGTGTTGTTATTGCCTTTTTTCAAGATAAATCGGTAGCATGTGCAAAAAGGGATAGACTGAGGTGAAGTAAATGAGCACTGTGCTTGTTTAGCTTAAATACTGTATGTGACTAAAATGTGTTAATGTGACTGAATGATTCTTTTTTCACATTTCACAAAACTTCAAGCTAAGTTAATTCACCTCTGACACTTAAATTAATTGAAAGTTCTAATGTCCTACTTATTATGTCCTTATAATTCCCCTTAATCTGATGATGTTTCTGTGGAGATATTCCAGATGGTAGTTATACCGTCATGCACAAAAATCGCCTATGCTCTTTTACAGATTTCCAATAAAACATTTTAATTAAAGGATGGTCTACATCACATAGAGTCCTCTAGGCTCCATCGTAATGATGCAGTGAAATCATCTTGCCTCCATTCTGGTCACATAAACTAATGGTTTAATGAAGTTTCTCATTTGTGATACCCTCTGGTGGCCAAAGGGCTGCGAAGTTTGGCTTGGAGGATTTCTTTAAGGTAATGAAGCTCAGTTAAATAAAACATATTGAAATTCAATGGACTGAAATGTGAGATATCAAAGAGCAGAATGAACCTATTTGACAATTAGACATGTGGTTAAGTGTGCAAATAACAGCCAGCCCTAATAATGACATTTAAATGTTTTTCTACCATCTGTTACGAGACAAATTCTTACTTCAAGTACTAATTTAAAACCTAAACACACTTTTTTTTGCTGTTATCCACCTGTTTTCACACACACCACTGAAGCACTTTAGAGCCTTAACAGTTGTGTGTTATTTCAATTCCTGTGGTGATTTAATTTCAAATCTGCGCATATCACTTGGAACTGACTTCCAAAAGCTGCAGTCGCTCATTTAAAAAAAAAAAGATGGAGGAGATGCAAAAATTGCTTCTTGAATAAAAGATGTTTGGGGTAGGTTTGAAGCGTCGCCTCCGGGTGGAGGACTCTCCATGTGTGACTTGGTGATCAAATGATTCCCTCTCTATTCTATTAATCATCCAATCAGGAAGACGTTGTTTTTGTTGAACAAGTTATTCAAAGAGAGGGCATTTATCATATCACAGAGTGGATCCTCACATCCTCTTTGTATTCCTCTGCATCTATTCTCATCTCTTTTATCGTTTCGGTGGCAGATCACTAACCCTAGGAGAGGTTTAGATGGAGCTAAATGATTATTGTAAGTCTCAATATTTAGCCTGCACTTTAAAGGGGACCTATCATGCAAAATGCACTTTTGTA